TCGTCGATGACTTGCTCATAAGCCTCTAAAGATTCTGAGGAAACATTGCAGGCATTTGAAAGCTTTATTTTCCAAACTTCAGGAATATGGACTTTGCATAAATGTTTCAAAAATGCACCTTTGGTCAAACATCTATTGATTTCTTAGGTTTTCACCTTAGTGAAAACGGAATTGAACCTCTTCCTGACAAAGTCAAATGTATTTTAGATTTTCCTCAACCTACCACTCTCACTCAGCTTCGCCGATTTTTAGGCATGTTTAACTTTTATAGATGTTTCATACCTAAAGCAGCACATATTCTTTCTCCTTTAATAAAATTGTTAGAAGGCTATATTAATAAAAAGAAATCTCGTTCTCGTGTTCAGGATTCATCCCCACAATTAAATTGGAACGAGAATGCTGAACAAGCCTTTATTGCTGCCAAAAATGCCATTGCTCAGGCTACCCTTTTGAGACACCCTATTCCCGGAGCCCAGCTAAGCATCTGGGTAGATGCCTCAGACGTCGCAATCGGCGGCACACTTATGCAGTTGTCTCAACAAACATGGGAACCTATAGCATTTTTCTCTATGAAACTCAGTAAAAGTCAACAGAAATGGTCCGCGTACGATAGGGAATTATTTTCTATTTATTCTGCAATTAAGAAATTCCGACACATGTTAGAGGGCAGAAATTTTATAAATCCCCCCTCCTCCCCGCACACACACCTTAGATTATTGAGGACTCTTAGGGTCCCTTTTTTATTTTTTGTAAATATAGGTTGTAATCTATCTTTTTGTTCAGGAAGAAACACCGTTAAACAATTTTATTATTTAATACACCTCAAAGCTCTTATTCCGATTTTCAACCCCTTTGGCTTCCTAGGGGCTCCTTTTGAACTTTTGGATAAATTTTAGTTTGCATCTAAAATGGGCCTTAGAAATATTTCCCCTCCTTTCACCAACTGAGAAAATTTATTTCGGAAACAACCTATTTGTATCCTACACCAGACGGCAAATTTCTCTTGCCTTCCCTACTCTTGCATCTGAAATTAACAAAGAATTATTCTAAAGAATAAAAGCATGCTTTCAAATCAGCAGCTTTTGTGATTACACTATGAGATGTAAGTGCATTTCCATTTTATGTGAGCTTTCCTTTTGTGTGATCTTATCACACCACACAAAGGGAAGAAGGCGTGACTCCGGAATGACAAATTAGTTGTCAATCACCTCTTTGAATTTTACTTGCATTCTAGGATTTTGGAAAACAGGAAGCAAGAGCTGTCTTTTGGAAACTAACATGCCACATTTAACCCCCCCCCCCCACAATTGCGTAAAGTTTTGACCCCAGACGGCAATTTTGAAATCGATGAGTCTCTCTTGCTGAAATAAAAATTTTAGCTAAACAGAGACGAATGAAACTCGAGTATTCAGTCCTAGCCCAGAGTCAGTAAACTCCCCATTCCTTCATGAACATAATATTGAATCTTAAACAACTTATAAATTAATCATAACAAATTATTACTGTTGAGGTTATCGATAAATCGATATGAGCTAAAACAAAAAAGCAATTAATAAAGTACAAATAAATAACTAAAATGCATATTAAGAGCAAGCAAGAGTTGGGATACTGGAGTAAAGCTAAGAGTTCAGTTGTCGCTTGTCTGATACAAAGTTGAGTTGTTACAACAATACTTCCTCCACAAGCCACAACTTTAAATTAACACTAATTAACAAGACTATTAAATGAAAACAGTCCTAACAAGATACATAGTTCTTTGAACCTAACACTAGGCAATAGTTTAGTCATGGTGTCTGCTAATTGCATTTTACCAGGAACATGCTTGATGAACAGTTCACCATCAATGAATTTGTCTCGCACAAAGTGATAACGGACATCTATGTGCTTGGACCATTTATGGTATTCAGGATTCTTGGCAAGTTTCACAGCACTAGCATTATCTACCAGAAGAGAGGGAGTTTCGAGATTTGTTATGTCACTGAGCAGATGTTTCAGCCAAATTAGTTCTTTAGCACTCTCACTCGCAGCAACATATTCGGCCTCTGTAGTAGATAAAACCACACTCTTCTGCTTTTGGCTCATCCACGAGAGGGCTCCACATGAAAATTTAGAGACCATTCCAGTTCTTGAGCGTCTTGTTTTTAAATCACCTGCATAATCAGCATCGCTGTACATTTCAAGCTCATTGGGATGATACTTTGCTTGATATAATAGGCCAAAATCTTCAGTTCCTCTTAGATATTTAAAGATTCACTTTACAGCACACCAATCTGAGGTCCTGGGATTTTCAAGATTTTCAGAAACAATGCTTATAGCATAAGCTAAATTAGGTCTTGTAGCAGTTGCAAGGTACATCAGACTGCCAACCGCCTGGCGATAAGGGATTTCTTTTCCTATCAGTTTGTTTTCTGTGTCATCAAAAACAAAGCTTTTGTCACTTGGAGTTGACACTGGATTGGCGGAATCCATATGAAATTTTGAGAGAACTTTTTCAAATAGGCACAATGATTCACAAAAATTGAACCATCATTCAATATCGTTATGTTCATACCTAGAAACTGGTTCAATGAACCCGTTGTGATCTGAAAAGAATGACCAAGTTGACTCATAAAATCTCCACTTCAACTTTGTCTGTCCCAGCAGCAAGGCCATCATCTACATAGATAACAAGAAGAAGTTTCTTGTCAGTTCTGTGTCTAATAAACAAGCAGGGATCAGCTGTACTAACTTCCAGTTCCTGGTCTTTCATAAAATTCACAAAACACTGATTCCAGCAACGGGGTGCTTGTTTGAGTCCATATAAACTTTTATGCAATTTACAGACTCTCCCACTATTATCATTGAAGCCTTCTGGTTGTGTCATGAACACTTCCTCCTTAAGGGTTCCATACAAGAATGCAGTCTTTACATCAAACTGCTGCAAGTACAAATTTTCTTTTGCCGCCACAGCAAGAACAGCTCTCACAGTGTCATATCTTGCAACAGGGCTGAATGTCTCATCGTAATCAAAGCCTGCTTTTTGGGCATAACCCTTGGATACAAGACGAGCTTTGTGTTGCTCCACAGTACCATCTGGATTAAATTTCTTCCTCAGCACCCATCGACAGTTGATAACTTTTGAACCAAAGTTGTCTCTCAACAAGAATGCTGATGTTAAAGGGCTTTTATTTCTTCTTTTATGGCTTCTAGCCACAGGTCACTTTCACTTGACGAAAGAGCTTCAGAATATGTGGATGGATTTTCACTGTTTTCAAATTCTTCTACTGCAGCTATGTCTGCTATCAGATATTCTCCGGATTTCATCCATGCAGGACAGCTTCGGTTTATTCCAGATTTTCTAACAGGCTCTTGTCCTTTGGATAGATTACGTTCTTCACTCCGAGTTTCTTCATACATTTCATTTAAATCTTCCTTCACCTCCACTATCACAGGAGTGGTGCACAAACGTTCTGGCTTGAAGTCAACATCTCGAGATTTTATGATTTTCTTCTGAGAGGGCAGATAGATCTTATAACCACCTTTCTTGTTTACATACCCCACAAAATGACCACGAACACCTTTGTCTTCCAACTTACATCTGAAGAGCTTTGGTATATGTGCATAGCATTCAGTCCCAAATACTTTCAGGTGGTCAAGTTCAGTTTTTGGCTCACCAGTCCAAAGCTCATGAGGACTTTTGCTTTCATCTGGGGATAAACCAGTGTGATTTAGCAACTACACTGCGGTGTCACATGCGTTGGCCCAAAGTGACCGAGGCAATGAATGCACTTGTTGCAAGCATAGAACGAGCCAGATCAACAATTGTTCGGTTTTCCCTCTCTGCTGCGCCATTTTGCTCTGGTGAGTATGGTACACTGAGAGTTAGTGCTATACCTTTTTCGGCAAGTATCTTTTGAACTTCACCACAGTCAAATTCTCCTCCTCCATCACAACGGAAAGTTTTCACAACATGGCCAAGATTAGTGGCTTCATTGAGAAACGTACGTAGGCAACAACTAACATCACTTTTCTTTTTCAAAAAGAAGATTTTACGATATTTGCTATAGTCATCTTTAAAACAAACATAATATCTTGCACCACTAAAGGAGCCCACAGACATAGGGCCATTAACATCAGCATTAATGATTTCACCAGTTGACATCGCTCTATAGGAACGTGACTTGAAGGGTTTTCGATGAGCTTTTCCAAGAGCACATCCATCACAAAATTCACTTGTCACTGCATGACTTACAGATATGCCCATATCAGTTAGCAGTTTTCGAATGTGCCGCTTATTTTAGTGACGAAGACGTTCATGCCATAGTTGCAAAGATTCAGTCTCTGTAGCAATACTTATCTCGTATGTGCCATCTCTCCAGGATCCAACTGCAACAAGTTCTTCACTAAGAAAAAATTTAGCATACCTTTCAGTCATTTTTACTTCAACTCCGTGCTTGGTAGCTTGTTGTACAGAGAAGAGATGCCGTTTCACATCAGGGACAAATCCAAACATTTTCCATGTCAGCATCATACCATTTACCTTGAATACAAACTTCAATGTTAATTCTGCCAGATCTATATGCATATATCTTGTTATTATCCTCAAGTGATACCTCAATGGGCACAGGAAAATGTTTTTACGAAGTAAAGTACTGTTTATTAGCAGTCATGTGGTGTGAAGCACCAGAACCACAGACCCAAACTTCAGGCTGTGTACTGTTTACACTAGCGGCAAATGCACCCTTATTATGCTTTGAGATATGTGACTTTCTCTTAGGGCAGTCCTTACAAAGATGTGTATTCGAACCGCACTTAAAACAGTTCTTTTGATTGAAATTACTAGATTTATTACCTACAGGAGTACTTTCAGGAAGTCTTTCCCCATTTTTCACAGTTTTTTTGCTTAAAACCAGGCACACGAGCTGCAAATGCACCATAATCCACAGCAGCATTAGATTTAACACGTTGTTCAATTGTACACAATTTTTCAACAAGATTCTTGGTTGTTCGTTTATCAGAGTCTAGAGACTCCCAAACATTGCTGAATTCTGGAATTCTGGACCCACAGTAAGCAATATTTTGCCATGCAATAATTCTTCTGGAATATTACTTGATCCAATACGATTTAATTCACCGTTCATATCCGTGTAGATTCTTTCAACTTTAGCTGCATGTGTAGCAACATTGTCATTAGGATCTCTACCGACTTGAAAAAATTGTGTCATCAATAAATTAAGTCTCTGAATACTGCTTTGCTCAAAAACACTAATTAATTTGTCCCAAATGTCCTTTGCATTCGAGTACGTCATCACTAAATCGGCTACAGAAGCGCTCAACGTACTTGCAATAAGCGCGGCTGCCTTAGCGTTATCACGCCGCCATTCAGCCACCTTCTTCACGTGCTCATCCGCACTAACATCACCGTTTACAGCGACCGGACAAATTTTAGTTCCATCAATAATTGACGTGAGATCATATTGTTCAAAGTGCATTTTCATTTGCCACTTCCACTTGCTCCAATTTTCCGCACCTTCTAGTTTGTCGATTTGTACTTTCAAATCCATAGCGTCTCACTGTTAGGCCTAGCACGCGGTTCACTTCGCTTTTCAAAAATTTTAGCAGATATTAAATTCACACAGATTTAAAACACGCTGAGCCCATAACCTGTTGAGGTTATCGATAAATCGATATGAGCTAAAACAAAAAGCAATTAATAAAGTACAAATAAATAACCAAAATGCATATTAAGAGCAAGCAACATAACCGTTTATTACTGTATGCTACAGTCGGGATACTAGAGTAAACATAAGAGTTGAATTGTCGCTTGTCTGATACAGAGTTGTTACTACAATAATTACATCATAAACTGTTATAATATAAAGAAATTCTATCATGTCACAGAGTAAAAAAGGAGAAGACTGTTGCTGCCATCTATTGGCGTGGTACCCTCAGTGTGGGTGCTGATACAGCGTGTTTCAAAAAGAATATGCGTATTTTGAATGCATATATTTATTAAACTGTATGGCATACGATTATGAAACTTTACACACATATGTATGAACCTCTCCAGTTCAGATTATAGATGTTACAGATGTTCAATATGTCCTCCATCAGTGAAACAAACAATATCACATTCATACTCAAATTCCTCCCATACTTGGGCAAGGATGTCCGTCGTCACTGATATTATGATCAGTACGGATCCGGTTCTTCACCTCTTCCAGGTTCAGTGGGAGTGGTGGTACATAAATGTTGTCTTTAATGAAACCCCACAGGAAGAAGTCACAGGGTGTCAAATTCGGTGACCGAGGAGGCCAGCTGAGACATGCTAAGTCGCCAGCTCCTTCACAACCAATCCAACGGTTCGATAGAGTTTCATTAAGATAATCACACACTTGTGACACCAGTGAAGGGGTGCCCCGTCTTGTTGAAAAATGAAAAGTCTTCGTGCAGCCTCAGAAAACAACAAAATTTGTAACATAGCGAGGTACTGCTGACCGTTAACCGTGTTTCCATCAAAGAATGGGCTGTAAACAGATGATCGGGATATCGCACAAAACGCATTGATTTTGGGCGAATCTCGTACATGTTCAATGGCTACATGTGGGTTCTTTAGGGCCCAAATTAGAACACTGTGTTTGTGTACATGACCACTAACATGAAAAGTTGCTTCATCACTGAACACGATGCGTTGTGCGAAAGTGTTATCAATGTCAATAGCATCAATAATCTCGTTACAAAATGCCACACGTTTGCGTTTGTCATCAGGATGCAGAGCCTGTAACAAATGTAACTTGTATGGCTTCATAACCAACTGACGTCTCAAAACACAGCAAATTGTTGTTGTAGGCAGTTGTGGCATGATGAATTGATTTTGAAGGACTACATTGGAAAGCAATTTGAATTTGTGCAACATTTTCGTCGGGAACACGAGGGTGGCAAGGACTCTTTCCTTTACATACACATTCTGTATTTACAAACTGTCGATACCATCTGCGAATGTTCCACCCATTCGAAGGGATCACTTTGGTACCTCAACTTGATACGTCTTTTGCACTGTAATCACGGAACTGCACTTTGCAAACTCGAGAATAAAAAACGATTTCTGCTGTGGAGTAGCCATTTTAAACATGTGACGGTTACCAATCAAAACAGAAGACAACTGACATCTAGCAGCTATTAATATAAACTAGACTATGTATTCGTTTCGCCAATAGCCGAACCGAAGTGCAGTGATCAATAGTTTGGACAAAATAACATATTATATCATATATTCCTTTTGAAATTATTATCGTATATTCTTTTTGAAACACGGTGTATTATATATCGGTTTTAAAATTGTATAAATAATCTTCTGTTAATTATCACTTCTGATTGAAATGAAGTAAATACATAAGATTCAGGATGAGTACATTATACATTTGCATATTTTGAATTTTTTCTTCCCCTCCAATAGAATTTATCAATCTTCAAACATGACACCTTGGGACGAGGTATATTAATTTCATAACCATAGACTCCAACTTGCAGCAAAACTTGTCAGTAGTCAATGCGCAAACGACATTTTTACAACTTTGAAAATGCATGCATAGCACATGTCGTAATTAACCATTCATTAATTTTTAATTAATCATTAATTGTAATCAATTTTATTACATTTAAAATCCATATACATATAAAACTGAATAATTAAACATTATATGCACATTTAATTAGAAATTTTCATTTAAGCATGCATATCATTAAATCTACTAATATATGAAAAAATATTTTAAAACACTACTAATCATAGAAAGCCTACGGACCATAGTTTACATGCCAACTTTGCACATAAAATGTTGTTGCATGATGATTTTCTGATTCATGTTGTTTTCAGTAATGAATCGACATTTCACCTCAGTGGACGTGTGAACACTCAATATGTGCACATCTGGGGCTCAGAAAATCCTCACGAGATGGTACAATTTCAATGAGCCTCCCTTAAATTGAATGTTTCTTGTGCCATATCTCGGCAGAAGTTTATGGGCCTTTTTTCTTTGGAGAAGCAACTGTAACTGGTACTTCCTATCTTGATGCTCTACAACTATGGCTATTTCCCCATTTGGTCGAAGATGAACCCAATAACTTCATTTAGCAGCAAGATGGTGCACCGACTCATTGGCATAATGACATATGCAATTGGTCACTGTACTCAACCATTGGATTGGTTGCAAAGGGCCCAATGAAAGAGTTTGTTTTGTGTGGCCTCCATGCTCACCCGATCTGGTGTCATGTGATTATTTCTACCTGTGGGGGATCATAAAGGATCATATGTATGTGCCTCCACTACCAGCTAACCTAAGAAACAGGACGGAGTCAGCTGTTGCAACAATTACACCACAAACACTAATCAACGTTTGGGAAGACCTGGGGTATCGACTTGATAAGTGTGTCATGTGACGAAAGGTGTTCACATTGAACACTTGTAAGCATAACTGTTTGAGCTGCTCTTTCATTTCATGTATTAATTATAATTTTAAGTTTTACGTAACAAATACTACAAAGCATTAAAAGCCTGATATTCATTTAGAAACACCTTGTATTTCATGCTTTAGATAATCAAAAAAAAAAAAAAAAAAAAAAAAAAAAAAAGCCTCTTGCTATGATAAGTCCTCAGAATTACCCCCTCCCCTTTGCATACTTTTGATTATCGGCCCCTTTTTAAATTTCTGCAATTACAGGATGTAATAGATCATTTTGTGAACAAAGAAAAGTCGTTGAATGATTTTATATTTGATACACCTTTTTCTTTATTTACCGCACCTTAGGGGCCTTTTAAAATTTTTTTCATAAATAAGGTAGTAATATATAATTTGGTTTTGCAAGAATAGCTCTTAATGAGAGGTAAAGTTTTGACACTTCTCAAAGCCCTTTTCTTTTATTTATTGGGACACTTGGCCCTGTACAAAGTTTGAGAAAATTTTTTACATTTCAAACTTTTCTGGAAAAAAAAATAATGCATCCGAATCAAAAGCTGTTTAAGTCTATGAACCAACTTGAAGCATTTTGAACAGCTATGTGAAGAAAGTGCAAGAATATCACTGCAGAAGTGCAAAAGGCTAAACTTTTCAAATGAAAACTATGACTTTGCACTACCAAAAGTGAAGGCAATAATATTTTCTCAAAGTATACACTTCTGAATAAAGTCACTGTTCAAGAGATTTAAAATTCCTTTCCATAAATTATTAGGATTCCAATAATCACAATAATGATCAACACATCCCAGCCTTGATTCCTATCATTGTATGAAACAACAACAGGATATATCATAGTGTAATCTGAACTACCATTAGTAGCTAATACAAATGACGGATTCAATAAAACCTACACATTCCTTTTCTCACAAAATATAATATATATTTAATCAGAATAGTTGCTTTAATTCTTTCACATGTAATTATTTTGACTAATTTTTTTAGAATTGAGAAAGACTGACTGAAAGCAAGAATTTGCATTGTTAGCACAAGTAGCTGGAATATTGTGTTTCACAAGAAATGACAAGAATAAATGTTCTGCATTTATAAAAGAATATTAATTAAAAAAATATAATGATACTGCCTTCAAAGTAGGTTTCAAATTCATACAGTCCTAATCAAAAACTGACGCGGATTCTTAAAAAGCACTCTAATTTTCTAGCAACAATTTATCAGTATTTTATTTATTGTTATTGCACCCTATGGTTATGGTTAAAGATACCAGACACAAAGTAAAGATTGATAACATGAAGGAGCTAACATTGGATGATTTAGAAAAATACATCACAACTCCATTTCCCACAAACAAAACATATTATTCTTATCACTTTGTCTCAGCCATGTACTAAGAGTACTCATTTAATATCTTACTATGAGTAAAAAATTTGCTTCATTTAACTGTAACAGATAATCGCTCAAATTGGCTGTGTATGTTTCGTGTGCATTAGAAGATAGTTCAAGAAATAATTATCAAAATAATTAGGAAGTTCAGTCACTTTATTTATATTCCCCAAGCTTCATCAACCTACTTACTATATTTGAGTAAACTGTTTATTTACTCATTTAAGACCTTATCAGGGCTAGCTACATGAGCAGAGGCACATCTTTAATACAAGCACTTATTATTTCACTAGAATTCGCAATCATGGGGTCTGCTAGTGCTCAGTTAGCTGTCTTTCTATTTGGCTACTGTGGGCATATTTGAGACCAATTAAGTTTTTTCAATCTAAGGTCACCAGCTTGGATCTTTGGTACATCTATGTTAATTACTCTCTTCACCTGCTGGAAGAAAATCTTTATCACAGGGATGATGGCTGAACCAATACTTGATGTGATGCTATTGTCTGTTTCAAGTTTTTACATTGTTAAAATAATCTATGTTCAACATGGTTTGCTACTTATGGATATGAAAATTGGTTCAAGAATAATACACATATCCAATCATTTGCTCTGGACTAAGTTTGTAAAGAATCTGCATTCCTGTTATTTTTTCATTCTTAAAATCTCCTAGTTAATGCTCAGGGAACCCCTTTTGAAAAAGCAAAATCAATCTTTTGCGATGGTTTTGTGAGCCTTTTAAAACCTACGACACTGACCAATCAATGATGGGTTTTAGTGGTATTCTTATTATCATATCAACTAAATTCTCGTGAGCAGCCACAGCACAGAAAATGCCATTTTGATTGGTACTTAACAATATGAATGGTTAATTCTCCAAAAACACAGATAAGTGTTGGCATTACTTCAGTGAGACAATGCAATTTAATACTAAAAAAAGGGAAGACAGAATATGACTTTGGCAAGAAACTCCTGAGATTATATAATAAAACATTATAATCAACTATTCAACAAACAAACTGTTTACAAAGTAAAATTAACAATTAAGGAATTATTCAGCAACAAATTGCTTACACAGTGAAATTAACAAATAAGAAATGTTAAATTTTTCTAATAATGACCAAAATATTCTATTACAGAAATGATCAAGATAGCCCAAAACTAGAAATTTTTTACTTTCTTCATACTCTTCTTTTAACACATTAATACAAACAAGGTTTTAGGTTTCTTCTTCTATCAGACTGTTTTCCCATAGATCTTCCTCTTTCCTAATTTCAAAAAGTCAGATTTCATGGTCACATACCAAATGAAGACAGAGTATATTAAAGAACTTTACTATCACCAATATTAAACAGCACAGCACTATAATACAAATAATTAAATAGAAAAGTTTTCCAACTTCCTGTTGTTTGCTCCCCTTTTAAAAGAAAGGTATGATTTAAACAGCACTGACAGAAACAGACCTGCAGGGTCTGGCATGCTGAATACTATATCACAGATGGAATGGGACTATTGTAAGGTTAATGTGCTGATACAAATACAATATATGATATGTACAATTAAAAAAAAAAAAAACTTTCCAAGTAAATATTTTACATAAAAAATATATTTTATAAAAAAAGTAAAATTACTTTTTGAAATAAAAGTTATTTACATGATACATTTTATGAAAAATTTAGGTACTGCATACTTTTACACATTTTTAATTTTGAAACCGCAATGAATAAGCAGGTCGAGCAGCAGGTTTTTGATTGTTGCTGTCATCGAAAGATTTTACCATCAGTACCATTTTTGGTCCAGTTTTCCACAAAGATTCTTTGTCATCTATGACCGCAGCTTCAATTGTTATGGAATGAATTCCAGCAATAGGAAAACCAAGAAGAAACTGAGCATGAAAATAATCATAATGAGGTGTCACAGACTGAGAAAGATTTGTTGTCAGATTAGTGTTATCTGGAAAAGACTAAAAAAAAAAAAAAAAAAAAAAAAAGTTATTCTGATTTTTCTTCATTAATGACACAATATTTAACATCAGATCAAAAATCAGATTACTAACCTTAATATCCTGAGTATTCCGATTCTGTTGGCTTATAACAGTTATTAATATTTTATCTACTTTTCGATACAAGCCAGGTCTAGAGCCATGCTGAACAACTCCTTCAACTTTTATAGATAATTGAGAAGTATTCTGTATAATAATTGGCTCTCCAGAAATTTTAGGTTGTGGAGATATTGCTAGCTAAAATTGCAAAAGGTAACATAATGTAAAATAAATCAAACAGAAAAGTACAGATGCACATTAAATAAGCAGATAAGAGATGAAGATTTAAACAATGGAAAATTAGCCATCTGGTTTAAAGATTCAATCAAAATTAATATACACAATATAATGATCAAGAATCGAATATTAAATTAGTAATCTACAAACCCCCCTTGGGGATTGAATTTGAGATGATATGAGGTCGTGTGAGCTCATGATTCTGTGAAGTCACAAAAATCACATTATCTCTGAAATCACATGCTAGCTTCTGTGACTTTTTCATTCTTCTCTTGCTACTTTAGTTCAGCAATTTCTGACATCACTACTGCAATGAATGCAAAAATTGTATGACTATTTATAGTAACTTTAAGAGGGCTGATGAAAATTTCTGTAGAGTGTCTAACTACAGGATGAAATACAGTGCTTTTTGTGTGATTAAAATGGTCAGTTTGAAATCACCTTAAGTGCCATGATGCAAAAAATATTATAAACAAAAATCAAAACAAAATTCCATTACAATAATGTTTGAAGAATCCTTGAATAGTACACATAGAATTTGATTTCTGATGGCAATCAATTAACAAGGAATGTATGCATAAGATCTTCAGAAACATGAAAAAAATCTATTAGGAATGTCCTAATCTGAGGTGAAAACAGATGGCTATTTTGAAATGATAACACTGCTATGTTTTTCAGATATATCATGTGACTTGTTCCCAAATGCTTATCCTCCAGGAGATCATCATACTCCAGAAGGATTGGATTGGATTATTCAATTATGACAAAGCACATCAGGGCTATCTGCCTAAAGGGAGGGATGCCTTTGTGGAGGACTTTCTAAGGGAAACTGGCTCGTATACACTTTACAAATGGGGAAAAACCACAAAAACGCTCATGCAGCCAACCCATTCGCAGGATTCGAACCTCCCTCCAGAAGGAGGAAACGTAGGTGTGTTTTGATACGATAGTTATTTATTATAGCTATGAAAGCAGATTAAATATAAAGTAAATTAAAATTCACTTTCCAAGTTATAGAAAATAAAACTTACTTTAATACTGGTAGATTGTAAAGCTTGGAAGAAAAATCTAGGTAAGCACAATGGAATTAAAAAGATTTCATTGCTGATCTTGAGCAAAAAATCCGTTTCCTAAAACATTTAAAATAACGTTTTAAAAGAAAAATAAATACATAAATAAAATTTGCAAACAGTTAATTAATCTAAATACTCATTCTAGGACTTCTTGAAACTATAAAAATAACATAAATACAACTGAGAAGAAATAACAATATTAATAAAGTCATATATCAGTAAACAAATAACAAAAAATATTCTGACAAAAACCCATTAGTTATGACCTAATGCTAGGAACTTTCAATTATTTTATCGATCACTAAAATCAGAACTGAAAGCCAGTATATATCCTGAACATAGGAGCAAATACATAATTGAATGTAATTCCAATTTCATCTTCTATTTTCAAAATAAGGGAAAAGGGGATAATGAATAGCATCACTGATTTCAATGACATACTGCACATTGAAATATTGCACATTGAAAGATATATTGCACACTGAAAGACCACTGACACATTTAACTCTTTCAGGACAGGCGTCCCATATATGCATTCCCTAAGAACGACTCTTACAGCCGGGCGTCCCATCCACGCATCAGCAGACATTGCATTCAGAGGACGGGTGATGCGTATACGCATTTTAAGGTGGAACGTTTTCTGAAGGCCACTAGATGGCATCCTATGTCCATTACTTTTGAAATGAACACAGTTTTAGGTTCCTGACCTTGAGTTTGATATATTGTGCTTGACTTTGGTATTTTACTCATCAGCTGTTCAAGGGTAGGGGCAGGGAGAGAAAGCGTGAACAGAGGTGAGCTCTTTAAATCGCTGCGTGCTAATGAAAACATTCTCATATCTGATTTATATCCAATTCCTTTTTTTATTCTATTTCCCCCTCTACTACGAACGGTCTTTTAGAGTTACTGTGCAGAGTTTTCTTTATGTTTTGCATTGCCTTCAGATGTATTTCTCTTCCTTCCTTTTTTATTTAGGAAAGCCTCAACTCCGGTCTATTATGGCGGGAAGGCACTATTTATCAGAGAAAGAATACCCTCGTATGGTTAGTGAACCATTTACTAACGCAAATGAAAGTAATGATTCATTTTCTAAAGAGTTAAAAGTGATAATTTTTCTTAAAGAGTTAGAAAGTAATACTTCTCTGTGCTTCGAGATTTACCCCACTCGTTTTCATTTTCAATTTTGTTACTTCTTACTGTAAATAGTTTATTGCGTTCTTTTTATTAATTTTAAACTTTATTGATGGATTTTTATCAATTAAAACTTTGGTATACTTTGAATAGCGCTTCTGAAAATTATTTTACAAGATAAGCAATTTTTTAAGTATATTTTCATGTAAAATAAAGAAAAAAATGTTATTAAGTGCTAATTTTAACATATATAAGAACTCAAGTAATAATCTAAAATAATACCAAAAATTACGATGCTAGAAGCGAACTTTTGTTTTTCCGATTTTTTTTTTTTTTTAAATAAAATTAGGCTTAGCGATGCAAAACCTCCATCCTGTGCGGTGACTGCCTTTTATACCCTTCTGTCCCGCACGAGCGTCTTAAACAAAGGTGCGCCGTCACGAAAAGGTTAATACACATTATAGAGAAGAAAAAAAAGAGTTCATTGCAAGTCAATATGGTCATTTGCTTGAGGCTGATATGTTTTTATACACTGTTATACTTAAAATAATTAATGTCACTTTAAAACTTAAATGGTACATAAAAATTATTTATTTAAACACTATCAACAAGTACTCATGCAAAGAAAGTTGTCTTCTAAATCCATGCCAATATGATTTAACCAAGTAGTTTTAATTTCGAAAGTTTACTTATGTTCGAAAGTTAAGCACACAAATCACCTTTCCTGTTAAAACAAGTGTTAGGTTCATTGTTAACCTTATATGAGAACTGTCCTAACACTGTACTTACTGTTTCACTTCCTAAAAATTGAGAGTGAAAAATTATGCAATGTACATTTCTGAATTTAAGAATTTTGCACTTTAAAAAGCACACACGAATAGATGTACTAACAATGCCAAATTCAATATATCAGAGAGCTAGGCTATAATTATCACTTTCAGCAACAATTTTTTCCTTCCCCCAATGTACTTTATTATATCTCCATAACTTTTACATAACTATCACAAATTAGATGCTTCAAAGCATATGTTGAAAAATATTAAGCAGGCAAATATGCAAGTAAATACAGTATGTCGGGAAGGATTTAGAAAATGTAATTACAAATGCAAATATGTAATAATATAGAAAATAAAAGCAAATTTTAATTTTAAAGATTCAAAACATAATTTAATACCATTATTTAAATTCAGGAAATAATGACATTCCATAAACGTGAATAAAGCTGTTATTTTAAACAGATTTTGCCAGGTTGCACAGCTGTTGGATTTACAATTCTGGTATAAAGGACTTCTTCAGAAAAGATTTCCCCATGACCCAAAAAGGAAAAAAAAAATAGATGATTTACTAGATAACCACATGATCACATGATTATGTAAAATACACTTTAATATCATCAACTTTTGAAAACAACCAATGCAAAAGGCGGGTGCCCTCTGGTGTTATAGCCCATTTAGCCCTGTTTTAATGCATGCATCAATGTCATATTCTGCATGCAGAATATGACAGCTTTGCTTTCAAAGATATCCATTCAGAATGAGGGATGTCACTATCTTCCTACTTCTTTCCTGAATAACCCATAAATGAAAACTAGGACAAAAGTTTGTGCTTATTCAAAACATATCAAATGATTCACTTTGAGATAGTTGTAAATATTTCAAAATTGTTTTTGAAACAAAGCTTTATTGCTATATCATAGTTGTTTTGTAAGTGACAAAAATCAGGAGGATGATACAAACAAAAGAAAAATAAGTTAGAAAAGAACAAACAATCAACAATAGTTCCACTAACAGGAAATTTCCTGGAAAATACTGAAACTGCAAATAGATATGTCATAGGCTTACATTTTGAAATGACTATATAGGAGATACAAATATTTCAGATCTGATACTATATGTAATAAAACAGTGAAATAGTATTACACAGGAGTTTTACAAATGTTATTTTGCGAATGAGGTAACCCTTTTCCAAGTGACCTTATAATAAGGTTTGACTGTATGTTGCACTAAAAATGTTTCTGTCTCTGCAGAACTAATAGAATATTATGGAGAATATTTTTAGCATTTTAAAATTATTATTAAGTAAGTACATATGATAAAACATACTACTAGTATATTATAAAACAAGAAAAAAGAACAGTCTGCATTCAAAGAGAACTAAAAAAAGTAAAAATAAAAATAAGGAAGGGAATTACTAGCTCATATTTATATTACAAGTAATGAAAATATTCTTAGAGTCAGCCCATTCTGCTGAAAATTAAACAATAAAAACAACTTGCAGCATTTAATTTTTTTTTCCATTCATTTAGTCACCATGGGCAAAAAAAGTCATTCTTGTAACAATACAATTGAGGCAATTTTTCAAAACTGCTTTCATATAATAACAGAAATAATTGATAACAATTTTGATTTACTTATTTCTTTAACAGCTTTTCATAAAACTAGGATCTCATCACTATTTAAATCCTTTCCAAAATAATTTTTTTTAGCTCCTCTCCCTCTTTCTACTTACTTTTTTAATTATATTTAAATTTCTAAATTCAATACAGTAAACCCTTGCTGAATGTGGATTTGCAGAAAGCTTATGCATTACCTTAATAGTTTCTATTTAATTTGACTTTGAATGCATGCATTACCTTAATAGTTTCTATTCAATTTGACTTTCATTCATATGACATTATATCATCAACATTGAGCACGTGCTTGTGTCAGCTCTGGCCAGATATCAACAAGAATTTTAAAGGACTTCCATCAACTGAAAATTATGTCAAAGTAATCACACAAATTGCAAAAACAATTGGCAGAAAGATATTTCAGATATGACAGAAAGAGAAGTTAAAGAATTAATCGAGAAATGGTGAACAAAGTATTGGATCTGACACCAACCATTAATAAAAGCAACAATAAAGAAAAATATAAACACTTTTAACTTTCAAGACATTAAACAAGCTTTTAAAACAGCCACAGAGCCATCCAATTTTGTAATGAAGATCGATTCAAATGAAGGAAGAAGAGAACATTTTCTGAGAGGAACTGAAAAACTCTGCGCTCCTCGCTGCAAAACTTTTAAAGAGTTGCATCAGTCATTGTCCCAAGTGAAAATCTCCAGCTTTTTCAAAAAATAATTGTTATAAAATGCTTTTAATTAATATTTGTTTGTTTTTTCTTTTATTTAGAATAATATTTAGGTTTATTTAAATTATACATACTTCCTTAATCTGAATTAGTCTTAACATATTTTTTCCATAGAAAGTAAACTCGGTGGAATGTGATGTTGCGGTATGGACAATGCATTAATGATAATAACCCCACATTTGGCAAGGGTATTATTGGCAAGGATATGTACTGCACTGCAAGAAACAAAGTTTCTGCAATGCATGAAACACTAAGGTTTCAAAACAATATATTAACTACTTTAAAAACTCTAAAAGCATTAGAAATTTTCATAAACTTGACGAATCTCATGTACATACTAGAATTTGCAGGTATAACTAAGATGCAGGAAATTAGGTATTATTTTAACTTATATTACCATTTTACTCAAAGTTTATGACTGCTTCATCAGCCAAAGAACTGACTGTAAATAAAAAACAGAAATATGCAAAGTTATGAGCCTCTGCAATCATGCTTTTAGTGTAGGTTTCATAGACATGAATTGTGTACATGAATTATCATTCTTTGATCAAGACAAAGTATAGAGATCACAATGAAACTATTCTTTTCCTTTAAGTTAGTATAATCTTTTAAGTTCTGTTAAAAGAAGCAAAAATACCTCAGTTCAGAAAAACATTAACAGTACATGAAAAGGTGGATGTCACAGGTGGTACACGTACATTACCATCTGCACTTCAGATGAATTGTATCAATATAAAGAAACATTGTATCAAATTACACTCCAGTGCTGATGCCATTCAAACAGCAGAATGACACCATAATGCTATGAATGATAGACACTATGTAGGTGGCTCAGATGATTTTAGCTATTTGGAGATGATGGCTTAATTCATATATGAAGAAGATCACATAAATGTATGGATTCTTCTTCTCAATAAAGTTTTGTACAAGCTAGAGGTAATTGTGTTCTTATGTGGAATGTCTTCAGTTGGTACCATTAATGCAAGCCTTCCTTGACAGTAATGACAATACATATCTCACTGCACACCTTTTACACTGATATAAGAGTGCAATGTTTCCAGATGGGACTGCTTTACATCAGCATGATATTGAAAACTTCCATAATGAATTTATAATGCAGAACTGGCTTAGTGAACATTTAATGATTTACAATAAGTGGTCTACAATGGCCTCCCACACTTTCCAAGTTTAAAATCAGTTAACTAGTTTGGCACCTTTTATCCCTAATGCTTTGCAGCAACATTAAGAAAATTGGGCTCTATTATGGATAGCTATAGAATGTGCCTAGATATGGCCAAAGAACATAACACTTGTAAAGATTCTAATACTTCAAAGACAATATTATGAGCTGATCATGATTATTTGAGGCATACAGAAGAGGCAGGTGTTATTAATTAGGCATGTCTAAAATGCCCTCTCTTTTAAGATAATGCAAGCAAAGTCACATTAATTTTATTATTATTAAATAATAACATTCCATTCCTTTGAAACGCAACAAATTGCACAGCAATAATTTCTTATAACGCAAAATGAAATGCAACATCACTTTTCCCAAAGTTAAACTTCTAATTTTACTGATTTTCTATGATTAAACTGAACAATTTCCATTATAAAAATGACTAACCAGTTAAAGTACACTAAATAATTTTACGTATTTACACAAAATACAATGAAAATTTTAAAATATAATCTATCTTACTCATTATTCTGATATACAGGACAAAATGAGCATCTAAACCATTAAAAATCAGATAGGATTTTCAAAAAGAAAGACAGAATCGGGAAAAATAATCATTTGGTTAAAAAAAAAAATATATATATATATAATAATACATCATGCATATGACATATTAAAATAAAGCTGAAAGGCTAATAACTACAATAGATAGAGAAAAAAACATTTAATTAATATTCATTTTAGAACACATTTAATTAATATATTCTTTTAGAATGTACAGCCACAGAGTATGGTAAATTCTATATCACACTATTTATCTTTGAAACGAAATTATATTTCTAAACTGAAAAATGATAGCAATTACATTTGTATGTAGCAGGACGAACATGACTAGGCACACTAACTAGTTTAGTAACAGACGAAGAGGACAGCAGTGGGTGGATAAAGTTCTACAATATATGAGGTGGGTAAAATACTTTTTGTATTTAAAAGACTACAATAGATTTTCCTTTGCTTTCTTTTTAAGAAGAGTAATTTTATTTATTTATTTATTACTACATCAAACTTGAACATTTTATTATGTAGAAGGATTGATCCATATCCTTTTTTAATTTACAGACTTTTTCGGAGAAAGTTCTGATTTCCCTTAATTTTGAAAAAAAGTTTATATTTTCTTCCATGCATTTTCTATTTCCGTAACTTTTCATGATTTTCCATGTTAGTGGCTAATGTGAAAAAGTTTAACCACAGAAGTTTTATGTACTTCAGAACTGACTGAAAAAATGCGCCCTTTTTTTAAGAATGATTACTTTATAGTAATGCATGAGATACACAAGAGGATTACTACTTATTATGACATTTCAAATTCCAAAACCTTTTGCGTTTGGGATTTGTGATACTAAAACAGCATGCAGAAAATTTTTTAAATGTTAACATATCCAAACATCTATATAGATTTCTGGCTTGTGTTAGCTTTGGTATTTTTTCCAACAGAACTTCATAACTGATAATTATATAAACCATTATCATTTTTTTAAAAATTTCAATCAATACAGGAAATTACATATCCTATGACAGCATCCTATCCTGAACAGAACAATTTGTTCTTGAAGAGAAGATACTTTTTATTTTGTCTTCTGACTGTAAACCATTTTTTAAATGAATTAAATATTAAATTCAGATAAATTTGGGTGATACAAATTAGTGAATACTTTTTCCATCTATCACTTATTCTAATATTCTTGATCATGAACAGAAACATAGAAAATTAATGCATATTGTTAATTACATTTTTTGTAACAAAATAATTTAAAAATACAGCCTAAGAATGATTTTCAAATTAATTAAATTCAGAAATTTTTATTCAAATATTTTTACAGTTCTTTCATTATGTGTAAAAGAAGGGTCTCAAATACCTGTTTAGAAACAACTCTTTCTTCATAATTTACCGAAAAGTCTCGTATGACAGCAGAAGCTTTACGACAAGCTTCTCCCATCTGATAATTTTCTAAAGACTGTTTGGAATATTCAATGGATAATATATCTTCTTCTCCAGTATTAAAACTAGAAAATAATAAAAAATATAAGTGATAACTAAAATAAGGAGTTTAAAAATGTAAAAAAGTTATTTCAGTTATGGCTCATAGTGTACTTCAAATTCAATTCACAGTTCACAAAATATATATTTCAAGTTCTATTTACAGAACATTATTAATACAGATATTAAAAATTAAAAAAATATTAACATGCACTTTATTTTAAATTTTCATGAGCAGAATAAAATTTTCTTTATTACTTTAGTATTACAATAATAACAACATTTCAGTTACTGATATAAAGATCTGTCAAAAAAAATTCTTTATTTTGAGCATATCACATGCACAACTCTGAGCATCTTCCACGACCATCTCCCTTTTTTTAAATTATAAAATGAATTAATTTAGTTAAGAAATATTATCTATTCAATTATATTTTGCTGTCGCTTTAGTGTGTAATTTTTTTTAATTGTAAAAAAAGGGTCTTGAGTATCTGTTTAGACATAATCTTTTGTGCCTGAATGTCTGTAGAAAACTATCTTTAAATGAAAACGTTTTATGAAAATATAATCCTATTAACTTTTAATATAAAAAGAGATTGAAGTTTCAAAAATTTTAATTATTTGTATTCGTCATTTTATATCTTTTTTGATGGAGGGGGGATAAGATTCTTTTTACTTCTAAACTTTGAAATCCTCATTTCATATGCAATATTTTATGAAAAATTCTAAAATAAAATTACATGCTTGATGAATTACAGAATCTACATTAGATAACGTCTTTAAATAAATATTTAAAATAAATTTTTTGAGCAATCATATGATATACCACAATGTAAAGATTTACTTCTTTATCATATACAAAAAGTGTGTTTAATAATACATGAAAAGGCAATTAAAAAGAAAATCCAGTTAACAAATGCAACAGTAAGAAATACATTTAGTTTAATTAATTTCAGCTTTCCTTAGAGCACAGTAAATAATAAAAATTTTATTGCTCCAGCATCTACTTAGCAGGGATTAGATATGCTTAACTTTTATACAGATAACAATTAAATGAAGTTACTTATTAGCAGTTATTGAAGTTATACTTAATCTTCTCTACATGACTATGAGTATTCTGTCAACATAGAGAAAACCGAATGAAGCTATTATTCTCCCTTTTTTAAAATCTGACAAAGAATTCATTACAGTAATTATACATATTCTGGTTCTGACATCATGAAATATGAAACTGTTTCACAGGGCATTACTATTTCTTAAACAGTATTCTTTTGGTCTTTTCATAATTCAAAATTATTTGCCTACTTTAATTTTAATGTAGTATTTGTAATAAATATGCATAAATGAAGAGTAAATTATTTAACTAAAATAATTTAATAAGTTTAAATAAACAAAGAAAGGAAAAAAAACTTTTTAAAACATACCATTATAAAAAAAGAAATTATATAAATAAATTTTAGTTAAAAATCTTTATTTGCAAAGCCAATTTAAACATGAAATACTATCATAAAGAACAGTTCCAAAATGCGGCAGCAATAAAAGAGTAAATTTTTAATAATACAGTACAAAGTCCGTAATCCGGACTCGTCGGGACTTCGGCGATTCCGGATTAGGGTTTTTTTATGGATTATAAATCATGAATTTAAATCTGGAAAGATGGCATGCAGAAATGGTACAATAAAAATATGAAATAGTAATTTATGAAAAAAAAAGAACAATTATGATCTAAAGGGTACCAAATTTACAAAAAAAAAAAAAAAAAAAAAAAAAAAGAGCTTAATATTTATTTGTTTACTTTATTAAACATTTCTATCAATGTAAGTTGTTCCAATGCCATACTTCTCGCATAATTTTGAGACGGATTAGCCTTTATCCATTTTTTGCAGTAATTCCACTTTTTGTTTAATGGACATCGAAACATGCTTTCACTTTGTAGAGCCTTTGGCAGCTTCAGAATTGGAAATTCTTTTTGATATAATCAAAAGTTCAAGCTTAATTTTTATAAAATTGTTCTAACAGTCTGCAAAAAATAATAAGCCAGATCCAATTAGAAGATTAAGAAACAGCGCAATCTGCAACATTAATTGAAATGCCTTAGATAATTTTAGACTAGCTTATACCGTCTGTTATACATTAAACACGCATGCGCATACGCATAAAAGTTTGTAGGTTTGAGGTCCAGATTATAGATCATTCTGGATTATGGATGTCCAGATTAGACTTTGTACTGTATTAAGAAAAGTCAAAGGTTTTTCACACATACCCCATTCCTTGATTGTGCTGGGATATTTTATCAATTGCTTGAGCTATAAGTAAACAACCCTGATGTAATCTTTAAAACTGTCAAAGAATTTCTTTTACCAAATTCACAAATTAAATAGATTTAAAATTCTATACAAGAGAATAAGTCAGACTAATTTTAAATAGTAAATTGAAAGACAAATATTATTCAAAGGATACAGTTGTATATTAATAAGAGTCTTAGGATCAGCATCAAACACAGACTGATAGAGGGAACCATACTGATCAGCCAGATTCTTAAAATCTTTAGCACATTTCCTTATCTGAAAATGCATTATAAAAACAAATGTAAAAGCTATATCAACACATATTCTTTTAAAATACAGGGTGTTTCTAAATGAATATTGGGGTTTTAATTCTCTGTAATATTTATTACGTAAAACTTAAAATCATAATTAATACAAGGAATAAAAGAGCAACTCAAACAGTTCTGTTTGTTGGTACATGCATGTGCCAAAAAGGCTAGTAGCAAAAATGGTGACTAGTGAACAGAAAGCTTTTTATGTTTTCTGCAGTTTGCAAAGACTGAATCTGTAGTTACTGTGCAATGTGAGTTCCGGATTAAGTTCAGATGTGATCATCCAAGTGATAATAACATCCATAGATGGTATCATCAGTTTGAAAATACCGGCTGCCTTTGCAAAGGGAACAGTACAAGATGACCAAGGGTTTTCAACTTGATGTGTGCCATGTGACAAAAGATGCTCCCATTGAACACTTGTAGTAGGTATAACTAAGTTGCTTTTTTATTTAATGTATTAATTACAATTTTAAGTTTTACATAATAAATACTATAAAGTGTTAAAACCCCGATATTCAATTAGAAACACCTTGTACATCCCAGAAATGAGATGAAACATTACATAAAAATATCGGAGAACAATTAAAACATTTTAATTCCTTGTTGCTGAACAATATAGAGTAACTTAAACTCTCAATTCCCAATTTATAATTTATTAATTAAACAGCAGAATGTCAGAAGATGTCACTTCAATACTGAATTGAGCTTATCACTTTATATCACTCACACATTTGTTTTTCAGATTTTACTAATTTTTAAGGAACTTTAATCAATTTATATAAGTAGCACACAGCTGAAATTTTTATCATTTATCATAATTTGAAAAACATTCTAAAGCCAGTTTTCCCTAGAAATGCTCACTGAAGTCACTCATTTCAACCCTACAGAACTCCCAAAGAAGTCATTCCTGCTTATTATTTAGGTGAGTAAGTATCTCTATTTAAGGCAACTTACAATTACTCTTCATCATTTTCAATACAAGTGACTCAGTTCTGTTCGATATAATATAAGCATAGTTATGGAACTTGCCACAATATGCAAAAGTTTTGCATAAAAATAAGATGCCTATTAGTGATTTATAACATCTTAACTACGTAAATTTGGTCAAAAAATTAATTCTGGTTTAGAATCAGTGAAAAAATTTCTCACTACTTCCTGCTTAGACAAAATAAAAATAAACATGAAGGTTAAAGATATGCAGAATATGAATAGGACTTGAGGAACCATATAAAAGTAAATAACAAAGAAATAGCCAATAGTTTCTTCACATCATCAATATTAGTAAGAGATTTCATAAGGTTGAGGTTGTTTCAGCCCCAAGGATAAAACTACTATTACACAAAACGTGAATCATTTCTGCTTGAAGGGAATTCTTCATTTAGAAGTTGCTTATAAGCATGCAAATATACCACATTATACTTACTAATGTGTCATGTTGGAAGAGGAAAATGTTAGTTTTATGATAATCAAAACACTGCCACAACAGCTTAGAATGAAAAGAAAATTCCACAATTAAAGAAAACTAAATGCTCTGCAGACACTGTACATGAAATGTCTAGAAAATATTTTATGAAACCTGCATCAAGATGATGGTTAATCCCTGTATTTTATGGTAACTTGAATATTGAAAGTACAAGCATCTGAATGATTTAAAAATCCAAGTTAGGCAAACATATTTCAAGGAAAAACTATATGTAACAATAATTAAAGGAATTGCATTAATTTATATAAGTAATAAAAATGGTACAAATATTATTATACCTCTAAATCAATTATATTAAAATTCTTCAACAAGAACAAAACATAAAATTAAAAAAGGTAATAAAAATGCTACGAACAAGAAGGTGTTTTAAAATGGGGAGGGGGCGAGTATACAGAAAATGCACCCATAATTGCCCACATATTGATTGCAAATAAGATATGCATATATCATAACTTTATACTAATAATATAAAATATGTTAAACATCTATTTTAACTAAATTCTGTTAACATCTATTTGAATATTGTCAAAATGAGTTAAAAAATCATTTGATCTGTGAACATTTAATCATCTATTTCTAATCCACAAGCTAAATTTAAGGATTTAATTTATTTTTACATAAAAAAAGCATTTTTATGAAAATATTATAAGCCCAATTATGATTAAAAATATGATAATTATTCTTATGTTTTATTAATAGTTGGATTTGAATTAAACTCTATCCTATTTTTCTTGGCTTCTCAAACTCTCACTCAAACAAGAAAGTGCAAAGTTAATGGTAAGAAGCATAGTCTAAAAGTACGAGGTTAATTATAACCATAAAATTTTGATTAGGGATGACGCTAAGAGTTAAATAGTGGTAATAACTCATCAATCAATTCAGATAACTCAGTGGTTAACTATTATATAGAAGTCTCAGTTTATTAATTCCACAAGAGAAATTAAAAAAATAGTTATCTTACATAAAGATTACAACAAAGATTTAAAGACATTTAATTACTGATATCAAAATGATACTTGTGGCTGTTCTATCAGGTTCTGTAAGACTAAAAAATTTATTATTTTTTGTTTCATAAAATAAAATGCATAAATATGCAATATGAAATATTAATTATGCAACATAAAATATACAATGAATAAAAAATTGTGATGACCTTGAAATAATTAAGGGGCTAAATTATTATTACTAATTTAACAAACTACGAAACTTAAGCAACAGTTATCCAACTTTTATCATCACTACAATTTAAAATTTTGCTTGATAAACTATACAGTTAAACAAAAATAAAACAGTTGTTGAATACATAATTTGAGCAATATATATAAAATTACTGTCAAATAGACTTTTTTAACAATTTCCCCCCATAAATTATTTGAATAGAGTTCATTCTTACCACTTAGTTCAAAGATAGATTGTTCATAATATGCTGACATTTAAGCATGAAAAAAATGCAATGCTTTGTGTTATACCTTCATATAGCTTAGTTATCTGTAAAATACTTTATTCATTTAACTAAAATGTTGAACAATTCATTGCAAATAACTGTGCAGATAAAGGTATGCCACTATGAAGAGTTGCAGAAATAATTGTGTAGGTGTAGAAGAATATTTCATTATTCAAACATTACCTCACAAAGCTAACCACATTGCCATTTACACTAAATTAAGGTTACACACTAACTACATTTACACTAAATTAAGTGTAATGTAGTTAATGTGTATATTAGTGCTAACCTCGTTTATGCTAAATTGAGGTTACACACTTAACACTAAATTACAGATATACTAAATGCTATTTTAGCATAGGGAACTAAATTTAAAGGGGTAGAAATGAATATATACAGCTTGAGTAGCATTAACTAGTAACTCTTAATAGACATTAATCAAATTATTGCTCTGTATGAAAAGTACAGAGCTTTAAAAGGTTTAAAACAGACTTTTTTTTTTTATTAAATCAGAACTTAAACATAAAATGCACTTCTCATGCTTACAAAACCAGCCACCATTTATGGCAATGTAACTTAAGGTAGAAGTCAAATTCAAAAGTTAAACTAAACCTAGTAGTCAAAGACTACAGTACAAAGTCCGTAATCCAGACGTCCATTATCCGGACCTCAAAGCCACAAACTTTAAAACTTTTAAACACATGCGCACAATATATTTATGCATGCGCGTTTGGCGCGTGTCCGCTATGCATGTGCATAAAGCCAGTAAAGCATTTACCCATGCGCGCTTCCGATAGTGATGAAAGTAACAGAGAACGTTATTGAAAACGAAAAAATTTCGATTGACAAGTTAGTTGATATTCTCGACACAGCAATTACAGGACTTGAACAGTGGAACTTTGTAACTGAACAGGAAATTATGTCTGTTTATAGAATTAATGAGAAAGTATTAGCACAAAGAAATGAAGCAGCTTAAACAACTTACATTGATACAAATGTTTACTAAAGTAAACAAATAAATATTAAGCTTTTTTTTTTTTTTTTTTTAAATTTTGATACCCTTTAGATCATAATTGCTCTTTATTTCATAAATTATGGTTTCATATTTTTAATTGTATAATTTCTGCATACCATCTTACTAGATTTAAATCGATGATCTATAATCCGAAAAAACGCCTAATCCAGAATCGCCAAAGTCCCGACAAGTCCGGATTACGGACTTTGTACTGTATATCGTTGATTTTAAATTTGAAGTTAGCTCAGAACTTCTCGCTAGTGTAGCTGGTAAAACCTAATAACATGGTCTTGAAGGCAGAAACATGATCTATCTTACAATCCAAAATCCTCGACATTAATATTCTCTAACTAAATTCGCATTCTGATGAGGAAACGGAAAGGATAAGTGATAGTAAAGGCTGAAAATGATAAATAACTGATTAATTAAAATAATAATAATAATCCTACAAATATTACAGAAAATCAAGCAAACAGTTTAGTTAATCATGTAAAAAAATCTGCTCAAAACTTTATTTATCTAATCATTGAGAGACAAGTTCAAAATCCAGAAATGAAAGGTCTGCTCTTATCACATTATATTGCAGATATAATGAAAAATTCATAAAATGAAGAAAAATTTTAAATATTTTACTAAAACCCTAAAATGTAATTACACAATATGTATTAACTATATATATATATATATATATGAACAGAAACTTAACCTGCATAACAACACGCCCACATTTCTGAAGTTCATCACGAGTAACAGCTGCAACAGATCCAGCAATAGCAGGAGGTGGAGAGGTTTTTATGCAGGAGCATGCAAGTTGAAGTTGTAAATGTGCTTGAAGAACCTCACTACGCAGTCTAGCATATTCACATTGAAAAATTAAGGAATGCTGAGGGGTAGTAGCTGCCTTCAAATAAATAAAATAGAAAATACAGGAGTTCAAATAAAATATAAATTGAAGACAATAAACACAAAAATATATATTGTTATGACTGCAGATAAATATATTTTATGCTTTATATGTCAAAATCATATTAAAAAGGTATTTGTTTTTGAAAACCTTTTTGCATAAACACTGAATATCCTTAACAACTGCAGAAATTTATTGCATAAATTTTAAAAAATCAATTGCAAAAATAGCAATTATGACTGCTAAATTTAAAAAATACATAATTGAGACATTTTCAAAGAAAAGTCACAGTAATAAATAATTAAAAACTAAACAATTTACAAGAAATTAAAAAAACTCCTTACTGATTAATATACAAAATAAATACAAATGTACTAAACTAATACCTGCATTCCGCAGTAAAAGTTCAGTGAAAATATGAATCAGAATAAGCAATGCAAATACAAAAACTGTGAAAATAAAATATCTTTAGTTGCATTTTCAATAAATGTTCTGTTTAGATGAGGGCTGTGCTACAAGAGTTAGTCTGAAAACACTTATGCAAAAATCCCAAAAATATTGGAATTAATTTTGAGTTATGGTCTACCTCTGTAATTTAGCTTTTATCTTTGACTCATTACCTGCAAAATGATGTTCAAGTCCTATTGAAAATATTCTCCAAGATTTACATATTAATCCTAATGCAATAGTAAATTTTCTGTATAAGAAACATATTATTTAAATGAACGTTATATTTCAGAGTAATATGAACCTTTTGATGTGAGTTCATAAACAGTTTAACAAGTTTTAGGAGAAAAAGTCCCATTAAGATTTTTAAATTGATTATGAAAAGCACATAAAGGTTATTTGCTTAAGGGGAGTTATGTCTTTGTAGACAACTTTTAAGGAAAACTGGCTTCATGTTATACAATGCCATAAGTTTGCAATTGAAATGTTTACATTTTTTATAACACTACATTACCATTAGTAGCACTCATCACTACTACTAATACAAATAAGTAGTAGCGGTGAAGTAGTAGCACTCACAGCTACTAAATATTATGTTTATATAATTTTTAATTAATATTTTCTTACCTATTCAAATTACAGCTCAATGAGTTATAAATACTAAACATATAGGAATACTAAATAATACAAGAAAAGGAAGTACAGTAGAAATATTGATAATCAACATATCTCGGACCAGGGGTTTACTGTTTGTGAGTAGTATAAGGTCATGTCTCTCTGAATTTTGTCTACATTTTTCCTTTCCTAATTTTACAGGATGGTTTGGCTATAAAAATGAATTAAATCATAGTAAGAGGATAATTTAATCAGGATTTATTGGATACAAACTTATTATATTTTTTAAATAAATTTACGTGAAAAAATATCTGTATAAATGAAACATTTAGTGCGAAGGAAATAAATGATACAAAATTTTTTAAGCAAGCAGAGAACTCTTTTATAAAAATGCATCAAAACACTTCATACAAATCATTAATATATATTAATATTTGTATACCCGTCTGCAAAATTACTTTCAAAGTAAGTTTTTTTTTTTTGCTCTGAAATGAGGAAAAAATAGATTAATATATAAATACACTCTTTACAAAACCCCCAACAATATGGTTTTTCCCTAAACTGAACTCCACATTAATATCATCATTATATGCTGCACATGTGCAATCAGATTGATAACATAACTACCAATTTATAAAAAGTGCAAGAATTGAAATTTCAATTTATTTTTTATTAAATTACTACAGGATTTAATTACTTTTTTATTAACTGAAGAACTGTAGATAAATTATTTACACACATCAATCATATAAACTCAAGACCAATTTTTTCAGATTTATGATCCATGTTTGCTTGGCTATTTATGCAAGAAAGAAGCTAAATGAAGTTATGAAAGAAGAAATTAGTTACATGATCATCAAATATAACATGATGAATATTTGAAATACAGAAATTTCCTTTGATTACATCAGAAACTGAGTATGCATTACAGACATTTGTGGATTGGTGGTAATATTCTCAATTACTAAGATTCCACTGCATGTGTTATGAAAACTGAATTCAATTTAACCCTATTAATAATCATAATAAATGTCACAATCTATTCCAAAACTGAAATTCTAGTATCCATGTATATTTTAAACTGAAATTTAAACATAAATACTCGTGTAAATAATAAAAAGTTTAAAAACATTATCCTTAAGATAATTTTTTTTTTCCTAATTGATGAATGAAGATTTACACAATAGAAAAAGTAGAAAATTAAATCATCAACTGTTACTGAAAATTTTTCAGAATACCGTTAAATTTAATATCATGACTTTTACTTCACAGCATTACAAAAATCTATTCTTAGTTTAAACATTGAAGTTAAAACTAGTAACAACTTTTCAGATTTATAATTATAAAATATAAATTTCAGAATTTATTGTTACTTATATTCACCTAAAATGGTGAGATTATCATTCCAAGAAAAGTACAGTAAATGTCTATTGTAATTTTTTTCAATACAATATTCACTATTTTTAATTTGCTTTTTCAGGGAAGATAATATCACCATTTTATAAATTTAATTAATCCTAGTTGCATTAGCGGTAGATTTTGGCCATGAAAGTCTAATTTTGAATAATTTTTACTTTGTGTTACATATACATTACCGGCAAAGTCTGAAATCCCGGCATTCTATAGAATGCCTAGGCATTGTATATAATGCCGGATGATTTTAGGCATAGTATAAAATAAGAGAATTATTACATACCATACCTACGCATTCTATAGAATGACAAATGCTCCTTAGACAAAGTATGAAAAAAAAAAAGTTATGATAAGGCTATTATTTAAAAGACGTTCATTCCTCTAAAATACAAAGGTTATTTTGAAAAATTAATGAAAGAGTGCCATTAAAAAACTGTTCTTCAAAATATACACACAAAAAAAAAAAAAAAAAAGATAGTGAGGCGATCTTGATACAGCATAATAAATTTGCATTTTTTTCTGGCCGAGACTGGGAATCGGTAAGATCTACCTGACAACGGAAGTTAAATTCAGAAACAATAATAAGTTTCACATCAGTGCCCTTTTTAATACGTTTTTGTTTCTTCTGGCAGGGTTCACAAAGGTGGTTGGTGGTTGTTACAGTTCAATATCATTACATGTAATGTTTTTGTAATTGGTTGAAAGTTCTTTCGACATTCTGTCATGTTGTTCCTGTGCAGTACTCGAATGAGTTTTCATGAAATACGGGGGAAATAACTCAGCATATGTGACACAAAACTGCATAGTACTGACGCTTTCTTCAACAGGATAAATGCATGTACTTTTGTTTTCTGCAAACATCACAACCTAGCGATTTGGCGGCCAGTAGTCCTGTGGTTCCTTCTTTGTACTCATTTTGGTCTTTTTACATCATTTATTAACTTCTGGTAAGTAGTTTCGGTTCTTCAAAATGAATCGGAAATGTATTTTACTCTTTGCCAGTTTGTCGTTCTATAGAATGCCTAGGAAATGTGTGAAACATGAATCATTTCATACATTGCTGGCTAGTTTTAGGCATTATATACAATGCCTAGGTATTCTATAGAATTCCGGATTTCATACTTTGCCGGTAATGTACATATAAAGAAGTCAAAATTATTAATTTTATTTGGCTATGTTCCTTTCCAGTAATCTAAAGTATGTCACTTAAAAAACTAACCACATTAATGTCATCAGCATTGTGTAGCTCTTGGCCAATCACCATTCAAAGCTTAAACAAATAATTCTGAATCTCATACACAGGCCTTGATGAAATATGCATTCACTTTCTGATGATTGTTTGCCTTGCTAGTGCAAGTCTCATTGCTCTGCTATATTGCATATTGTTTCAAAATATGATAAGTGTATATAGAATTGTGGGTGCTTTGATGTGAAAATCAAAAATATATATCCCAAGAGAAATTCTTCTAGAAAAATAAAAGTATGTGATGAATATCCAGCTAATTGGAGTTCCCATCCATCAACTAACTATGTAATCTGTATGCCAGCCATATCTATCACCATTCTGGGCATGACGAAAAAAAAAAGCCTTCTTTCTCAAATCATCACTAACCAAACTCATAACTCATAACAAAAATATCAAACACATACTCACCTTTAAAGCTGATACTGCTTTCATATAATGCGTTACAGCTTCAGAAACACATTCTACTATACCCTGAGGACTCCTTACAGTCTTCGTCATAAGACAGTTCTCAGCTTGACTCATCTCACATAAACTGACCAACCAAAAATATAAATGTTCTGAACTAACCTGAAATGCAAAAGAAAAAAAATTTCATTTTCACATATGAAATAAAATAGTACAGTATACAAAACATATAAATAAATTATTTTGCATATTTATTCAATAGTAGTAAAGAACTACAAAGAAATTTATTTAAGAAATTAAAATTCTGAGAATTACTCTGGAGTAAAAAAATCTGATATAATTTCAAATAATTCAGAATATACATGCCAAACATATACACATCCTTTCAAACTATTTCATTACAGAAGTAAAATATATAAATTTTAAAATTTACTAAAAACTTTTTTTTTACAACATTATTTCGCATAATTGCCCATCTTTCTGGTTTCTCAATTAAAAAAAAATAAAATTGTTGTTAAGTTTATTTTGCCTTATTTTTGAGGGGGGAAAGGGGTTTTAATTTTTGGAAACTGCTGTATTAATATTTTCTTTTCTTACTAACAACTGAAAGTTCGGCAAAATATTTCGGTATTTTGGCTTTTCACTTAACCCATTAAATATTAGATTAGAACTTATAGTATGCATATTAACAGATGTTGGAGATAAGGAAATGCTAGAAGGAATATAATAGTGCATATAATATAAAGTACTCTGGTCAGCTGGCCAAGTTAATCACTAAATTATTCCTAATAGTTCATAAATATAAAGCATTTTGGTCAGCTGTCCAGTTAATCACTAAATTATCCCTGAAACCTTTACCAATAGGCTCTTCAGAGGGATTTCATGACACAAAAGCTTCACATATATTTTTGTGGAATAAGAATAATATTGCATTTAGGTCAGTTATTCCTAACCTATGGTACATGCACCTCTATACAGTCAAAAGCCATTAATTTGGACACCCATAATCCGGACCTCAAAACTAAAAACTTTCTGCACATGCGCCGCGTTGGCACATGCACACAGGCATTTTATGCGTGCGCGTAAGACCTTGACTACTGCGCATATGGTGTGTGAGCAAGTGCAGAATACGTTTTCGCCTGCGCGTTTAATGTTTAACGGACGGTGTAAGCTAAAATTATCTAATTATCTATTTCAGTTAATGTTAATGATTGCGTTGTTCCTTAATCTTCGAATTGGATCCTGCTTATTATTTTTTGCAGACTGTAAGAGCAATTTTATAAAAGTAAACTTGAACTTTCGATTATGTCAAATAGAATTTCCGATGCTGGAACTTCCAAAGGATCTACAAAATGAAAGTATGTTTCGATGTCCAACAAATAAAAAGTGGAATTGCTGCAAAAAATAGATAAAGACATGAAGAATGTGACAGAGAGGTTAGTGAAAACAAAAAAATTTCGATTGACAAGTTAGTCGGTATTCTCGGCACAGCAATTAACGGGACTTGAACAGCGGGACTTTGTACTGAACAAGAAATTATGTCTGTTTATAGAATTAAAGAGAAAGTATTATCACATAAAATGAAGCAACTTAAACAACTTACATTGAAAGAAATGTTTAATAAAGTAAACAAATAAATATTAAGCTTTTTTTTTTTTAAGTTTTTGTAAATTTTGATACCCTTTAGATTCATAATTGCTCTTTATTTCATAAATTACAGTTTCATATTTTTAATTTTAGAATTTCTGCATGCCATCTTACGAGATTTAAACTGATGATCTACAATCCGGAAAAATTGATAATCCGGAATCGCCGAAGTCCCGACGAGTCCGGATTAACGACTTTTAACTGTACAATGTTCTTAGTCAGGGGTTCACAAAAAAATTAATAGCCATGGTGGCAAACTACAAAGTATTATAATGAATATTGATCATCAAACAAAATGTTCAAAAAGTTAAAATTTGCCACTTTTAGCTCCACCAAAGTAGCCTGGGCGTTTTCTTCACCTGAGGCAATGAAGTAAATGCCCATTCTTATATAGATCAGGTCATTTTTGTATGTGTGTGTGTGGGAGGGGAGGAGCAAAATTAATACATATAATATTTTTTTAAATGAGGGTGGCCATGTCTGAATGCTTTTCTTGTCATAATGAAAATCTTACACAATTTTTTATTATTTTTACTTTGCTGAAGCATCTTTCACATCTAAAAAGCCTTTTTAACACTGCTTTCAAATTTTGATACAACTGAAATAAATTACACACATGAATTAGGATCTAAGTTAGTATCTGGAATTGATAAAAATAATATGTTTTTAAAACTAGATACTTTTTGGTTGAATTTCTGAAGCATTTACATCAGTCCAATATTTAACAAGGATTACCTGCACATGAAAATTCAGCATTTTAAAGAATATTTAAAGACTATCAATGAAAAAAATTAAGGACCAATCAAAAAATAGGAACTGAATAAACTAAAACAATTATCTACACATGAACTACACTTTTTTAATTTGTAAGAATAAAATAAATTTGTAAGTAGCATGAATTATTATTAAACACAATCTAATATTTAACTTATTTATAAAATAAATACAAGAATAAAATTAACTTCATAAATTTTTTCAAGTAATTAGTATTAAATTATAAAATTTCTTGAAACATTTATATTTTACACTTATAGCAGTCATAGTTTAAAGAAAATTAGTGACTTTTAATTCAAATTTTACTAACAGTACACTAGAGAGAAGGAGCTCCCAGACCTGGCTTTCATTTAAGATGCCTTACACAGTTATAATGCCCTAATCCCTAGAGGCGATACAAGGAGGTATACTCCCCGATCAAACCAGGAGGACAGAAATGCACAAAGTCTGAGAATAAGAATGCAATTGCCAATAAAGAAAAGATAGAGCAATGTGGTCTGTCCCCCAGTGCTTACCAAAGGCAGCCAAACTCCCAATGACAACCTTCAATATCTAATTATGTAATGCCCCCACAACCAAGGGGCAGACAAGAAAGTACCAGTACAGTTCCTGCCAAATTTGAACCTACCACTGAATAAACGATGGCTCTAGTCACTGTGAAGACTGATTGTTTACCCCATAAGTTGAGTCTATCTACGTACAGGTCCTAGCCAGAACACTGGGAGTTACCCCTAGTTCAGTCATTTTTATACTGATTCTTCCTTTTATGTCTCATTTTGCCGTGTACTTGCTAAATCCCAAAGTTTATGCAAATTGGCATATAAATTGACAAGTAAAATAATAATCACATGCCTCATAACAGAAGTTAAAAGTTCAGAATTTTGGCTATATTTGGACCACAAACACCTATGTAGACTAAATGTGGCTAAATACCTGTGATAAGATTCAGCTAATTCATGCCAATTTAGCACAGATGTTTGATGAAATATTTTTAATCAGGCAAACCAGCTATTTAATTGAATTATTTAAGCAATTTATTACTATTTAATGGCTAATTTTATTTTGCATTTTGGCAGCAAACCAATTTAAAAATTTTTTGAATTATACTACTGTGAAATATATGTTACCACAGAAAACAAATTAATAGCAACACAATTGTTCTGTTAATAGTTTGGCAGAATAGCATTTTCTAACAAAATTAATTAGAAGATGCTATTCTGCCAAACTATTAACAGCACAATTTTAAAATTCTTTCTGTGGTAAAATTCTTTCTTTTCTTCTGTGGTGGAAAGAACTGAAACAAAAGGGAGGCTAAAAAAAATTATGATGATGCATCTGTAGGTCTGTTAACGGGGATAAATTTAGTATCAAATAGTTTAACTTATTTGAAAATAAATGTTTTATTGTGTAATAAATGCCAAAGTAATTAAATAATTTTTTCTAAAAAAATCTAGTAAAAGATGAGGCAAAACTCTTCATTTACTAATGTGATATTTCATTATTATTTTTTTAAATCTGAAACACATTGGCACAATATGAAAATGACCATCACAATTTAACATTTTATAAATAAATTAATTTTTCATGGGTCTACACATAATACACTTAACATCACTACCTTCATGTGTCTACTATCTTACACATATTCTGATAAATATGCCCACTAGTGGCTGAAAGTCATTGAACACTGGTAGTTTGGTTCAAGGTTTGAATCCCACGAACAGGCTGGCTGTATGGGCATTTTTGTGATTTTCCCCATGTGTAACATGTATGCAAGCCAGTTTCCCTTAGAAAGTCCTCCATGAAAGCATCCCTCCCATTAGGCAGATAGCCCTCGAGTGCTTTGCCATAATCAAATAAACTAAAACAAATCAAACCTGATAACTATACTTATCATACACAGAAATTTTAATATTATCTTACTCTGTCACAAAGCATTGAAAAAATCCTTATTGCAAACTGGTGATGGCCATATCTTGTTGCTTGTCTGCCAATTCTGTATGCTGACCAAAAATCAATTGAATTGACTGCATTCATAATAATTGCATCATCCTGAATAAGCCATGGTTTATCAACACTTGTCTGAAATAGCAATGTGCAAACCATACCCTGTTTTAAAAAATATAATATTTTAGTTCTTTTTCAAGTTAATGTATATAATCACAAAAAATCAAAATAAGACATTTAGTTACATGTTTAAAAGGGAATAAATAATATTGATTTCTAATAGCCAAAACACATTCAATTTTATGTTTAAAATGGAACAAATGATATTCCTTTCTGACAGCCATTAAGAAATTCAAGTAAAAGAAAAAATATAACTTAAGTATTTTAGACAATACTAAGTCTGCATTAATAGGCTTGTCATTATGATAAATCTTAACATGTTAAAAAGGAAAAACTAATGCTTTCTGAGCACATTTAAGATAAATAAACATTTTATGCCATATTAAATGCCTTACACTGCCAGCAGATTATGCTCAAATATAATTAATAAAAAAATTTCTCATAAATATATGAAAGAGGATGTGTACAAATAACAAATATAGCTACATTATTTATATTCTACAAACAGGTTTCAAAAGAAAAGAAATACAGAGGATAAGAAGTCATTAAAATTTCAAAATATATTGCAAAAAATCTTATCATACATAAATTATTTTATACGTTTTTTTGATACAAAAGCACTTATGTTTGCAACATTTTCTAAATACTTAGCAATTTGTAATAAATCTAATTTCTTACAAAAACCGAGATCTAATTTAAGTAAATCCTGAAAGTGAACATGAAAAAGATTAAACAAAACTGGAAGAGAACCCCATAAGTTTCTAGCTGAGACAGTTTTTTAATAATCTAAAATGAAATGCAGAATAATAAACTACTTTTGCTTTTCTTCTTCTTTTCTCCCTAGACACCATTTAGTTTTTACAATTTACTCAACCAAATACAAGATATGAGATAAAGCACAATCCAGTGGTTCCTAAAAATTTTCGGTTTGTGGCGTTGTTCCTAAACATATGTATACATAGGATGCCACGAACTGTAAAGTTCCTGGCATCCTATGTATATATGAGCAATTTTCCATGGCACCCGAAGTCAGAATATCTGAATTTGGGTTAGAATGTTAACTAATTCTAAACTTTAGTTAGTACACATTTTTTGATACATTTAAACTGGTTACATGAATAAATAAATAAATAAATAAAATAAATGAAATATATATTTACAAAATTTACCAAATAAGCATGTAATTTTAATAAACAAATTGCATTTAGTAGGAACAGCTCAGTTTTTTAATTTTTGTTGGACATTTTCTCAAAGCTTGGAATTGAACATGGTATGGCTATTGTATTTCCCATTACACACTGATTTTCCTCACAGCACTTGCACTTTGTCAAATGACAGAAAACCCATAATTATATAAACATGATAATGGACTTGTTCACATTTAGATGGTATTAAAAAATCAATTAGTCATTTGTTGAATTTTCTCTTTAATGAACTGTTGATAAGATTTCCTTCTGGAGTTCTGGTTCTAAAATTGCCTTGAATCCATCTGAACTTCTTAATATTATCTCTAAAGCAACTTTCAAACCAATTGCTAGGTTGATAGATACTTTACAAAAATGGTAATTTGTATAATAATGAATTTCTTTTAATAATTAAAATAAAAGTTATGAGAAAAGGCTCATATATATTCAATAGCAAGTTACTAATTATGTAACATTAGAAATATCCTTAACAGCATCTTTCGAAAATTTTGGATTGTTATATACATTACACTATCACATGTGCAACATACATAATCCTTGGCAAATGTTCTCTCTGCACAAAGCATTAGTTTTTTTTTAAAAGTATCTTAGTCACATATGCAGCATGTTGGTCATATATACACAATTCTCAGAAATATTCCATATGGAAAAACTTACATTTTTTAATTTGCAGGGTTTATGTAACTAATCCAGTTATTTTATTATTCTGGCTTTACTATAGCTCCTACTTCAGTCAATTTCCACCAGAATCCAAATTAGTGAAAGTATAAATTAGCTTTTGGATTTAAGTTTTTCAGACAACATAGGGTACAGCAGAGGCTAACCAATAGCCTGCTTTAGTTTTCATGGTCTAAGTTTCTAATAACCCTGACTACTTAACAAACACTTAGCTAAGCATGAGCCAAGGTTTTGTTAAATATGCAAATTTAGGATTTTTCTTCAATTTTATTTGAGCATGAGTTTTGTTATCTTCAAATCAATGAAGTTTTGTTTCTATTAAACCTTGAATTTGTGAAAATCTCAGGTCAGCATGTTAATAAACAATTTTAACTTTTTTACTTTATTAATGATTCTTTTAGTTAGAAGGCAGACAGGACAAAAAGTTACCTCTTTTTTTTTTCTAATGACTACTTAGGTGATTTGGCAGTTTAAAAGCAATACATGTATTTAATAACAATTTAGATCCTTATTTTAATTTTTAATAGTTTTTGCAAATAATGCATTTATGATTTTTATGACCAGTTTAAATATTATTTTAATGAATTATATTTCTAATACTATATATTGCATACATGCTACAAAATCATTTGGGTTTTAAAATTGCATGATTAGAGCTGAATTTAAATTTGCAAACATAATCCTAAATATAAAAAAAAAATAATAACCATAATAATAAAAAAAATTTCGAAGAATTGTTTTTAGAAATGAAAGCAGAAGTATTTAAAAAAACATCAGAAGTATTTAAAAAACAATTAATAAAATTGCATTCATACTATAGCTTTAGAAGTTTCAGCAGTCATAGATGATGTAACTGTAAATTCTTTCAATTTCTGAATTAACTCTGCCTGCCAACAGACTACAACACCAGCACTTTTATTTCCCAAGGCACAAAGAGCAGTACATAAGGGTACAACACAAAGATCTAAGGAGAAAAAAATGTTTTATATAGCATATTTAACATATTTTTAATTTCAAATTAATAATTCAAATGACAAATTTATATAATAGTGGTATAATCTAAATTACTAATTTATTTTATACTATATTCAATATATAAAAATGATTTGCATTACCTGATGTTTTTCCAATCAGAGAACCAATAGTATCAACAAATTGGATGCACATATCAGGAGACACTTCACAGATGTTTACTGCACACAGAAAACATTTCTGGACAAAACATATAATTAACTATAATTACAATTCATGCATGTCATATAATATTTCTTAACTACCATGCAATATGATAGTTAAAGAAATGACATTTGAATTTTAAACAGAGGAGTGTATTCTAAACAAAATCAGTATTTTTAAACAATAATAATAGTCGGAAAATGCAAATATATTACAGACAATTACCCAAACACAGCAACAAAAAGAGAAAAAAGGAATTAGAAATATTAAAATTTTATTTTATGCAAATGGAAAAATACATAAAAATAATTTTAAAAATAAAAAAGGAAAGAAAATTTTTTTTATTTATTTTTGTAAAATTAGAAACAAATATTATGACTTTAAAATCCAGAGAGTATCTCATAAAATTTTATATTTTAACATACCTATTAATATTAAGTATATTATTAATATGTATATTATAAGTTTTTTAAATAATTCTATATTTACTGCATACACTAGAGCAGTGACGGTGAACCTTTTGAGTTCGGTGTACCAAAATTCAGAAGAGTATGAGCATAATTCTGGTGAAGCATAACATACAGAATGATCTGTCTGCCACCCATGTCGACAATGTTTCAAGAATGCACTTGAATGCACCCACGGTAAGGCAGCACATGTTGGCAGTAATGAGACCATTGCAAGAACCAAATATTTTTGTATTAGATTTCAGATTTTCATTTATATTATCTTCAGCTATGCAAATAACATAAAATAAGGTTTCAATAGCATCGGAAATTCCCTGTATCAGATCAATATCTCGTAGTACAACATCCTCTGAAATACATTACAAAGAAAAAAAAATCATATTTACCATTAAAGACTTAAGATTTTCCTTAGTATTATCTTCAGCTGTACAAATAACAAGAAGCAGAGTTTCAATAGCACTAGAAACTTCCTGCATTAGATCAATGCCCTGTACAACAATATCTTCTAAAAAAATACAAACATATATAAATATGTATATATATATATAGACAGAGAGAGAGACAAAAAGTAAGAAATCCAAAATACATTCCATACAAAGACCCCAAAAAGTAAAATTCAGTACCAATAAATCTCAAATAGAGTGAGCAAAAAGTTCATTAAAACTTAATTCATAAAAAAAGGAATAAATTATGATAAAGAACTGCAGTTTACAAGAGAGGGCTCATAAAGAAATTGCTTTTTTCCCCCAGCAGAGGGAAAAAAATTTACAAATGCCACAGTTGGAGGGCACTGACATGCAAGAGATTCAGCAGAATTATGGGAATTAATCTTGCAATAAAAGACCGTGATACACAAGGATTTCTCATTCGCTTTCAGAATGTTGTCATTACCAGAGCGAGCATTGTTGGTGAAGTTGTTCTATTTGAACAGAGAGACAACTGTTGCATTGCAAAAATTTTGCATGGCGAAAGGACTGAAGATGAAGAATGGCCCCTTATTGTGTTCTGGAATAATGAAGCTTGTCAAATGGTTTGAAGAAACTGCCTCTTTGAAGGATCAGCCATGAAATGGAAGATTCACGTTGGAGATTTAGGATCTTGTTGGAGGGTTTAAGGATAAATGCAAGATTCTCTCGAGCAAAAAACTAAGAAGTACAAAAATGCAAAAAATTTGGAATTTTGCCACATCTTTTACTGGAAATATTTAAAGAAGATTTGAATGGAATATTCAGCAATGATGGTTTTGAACACTGAAAAGAAAAGTTTTCGACAGGAAAGCAACTTTGTTAAATAATTTGTATAAATGTCAGAAAAAATATCCAGTGGTTGGTCCTTTACAAGTAAAGAGCTAAAATTTTGCATGACATTTATGTACAAAGGGTTTTAAGATGAATGATGGATTATATCCTTTTAACCATGGTTATTATTTTAAAATTCATTTGCAGTGAAAATGTTTCAGTGGATTACATTTAGTTGATACATTAATTAGCTGATATGTTGTTAAAAAGTACTTTTTACAAAATTTATGATGTCTACAGTATTGATAAAATCAGATTTTTTACTAGTTATTATCAAAGAAAACACTGTTCTTCAGAAATGAATAATGCAGCAATAGACAACAAAAAAGAGATAATCATAGATGTCATAGATGACAGAAATTTCTCATGAAGGATATATAAGCCAGATAACAAAATGAATTGAGAAAATGAAGCATTCATTTTTGAAAGGTAAATATATAATTCCTTGAAGTAAGGTTGTCTTATAATCTACCATACTTACCACTTAAATATATAACTAACTAAAATTCATAGGTAAGGACATTATAGAGAACTAGAAAATAAGGTATAGGGGAGAAAAAAGGAAAAGCACTGATGTTTGATTAGCAAGTATTAAGAATGATGTTCCATAAATAACAATTCAGAACTGTTAAAGAACTGTTATAGATTTTGGCAAAAATATGTCTGATAATTATAAAGACGAATCTGCAATAAAGCTGAACAATAAATTTCAACCTAGTCTCTCAATCTCTGATATTAAATATTTTTTTTTTATAAAATGCATATGTGTTGAAAGAGTTAATCAATTAAATAAGTTTCATAGACCTTATTTTTCTACCAGTTTTATAATTAAATTTTTAGGTGGTTTGAAAGTGCCTCTATATCTAACATATATTCTGATATGCCACAAAAACTATTCACATTCAAAAATTAAATCAGACAGCAAATAAGAAGAAGTAAAGACACATTTACATTAGTTATACAGAAACTATGATAAAACTAATATTTGCAAAAAGAATAAACTATTTGTATTTTTGTGCTAGAGCATTTATCTCTGACTTACAATCTATAGATCTTAAACTAAATTAATAAACAATTTTAACTGTCACACACATACACATCCAAATTAATAAAAATTAGCCTTTAAAAAATTCAGATCCATCTGGCTGATACTATTCAGTTCATAGTTCTACAGCAAATGAAAGTAATTATGATTTGAAACTTCAAATGATGAAGAAGGAAAAGCCATCACAGAAATAAAAAGAATTTCACATCATGCAATCATTAAGAATCAAGAGAACTTGAGGATTCTTTTGGATTTAGAGGTCAAAATGCTGTAGCATTATGTGAAGCAATAATAAATTAAATATATATATAAAAATTAAACAATAAACACAAATCACACATATTTTAAGTAATGCCTATTATGTAAATAGTAGCAAATATTCTTGTTTTCCATCATATTATTAAATACTCCTTTAATGATTTTAATGCATTCCTTCTCAGAATATTCATTTAAATTAAAATTATATATCATGTACAAATATGTTTAACACAGCTAAAAAAAAGCTCTTTTCAAACAGGTATGAGTACACTGATGTTTCCATACATGCATATTTTTTATAGCATCCTTATATATAGTCACTTGCTCAACTTTCAGACAGTGATGTAATTTAAGGTTAATCACACAATCAACAAATGAAAAAAAAAAAAAAAAAAAAAAAAAAAAAAATGCAACAACAATTGCAAAGGAATTGCACAGTTGGTCTGCTGATAATCAATATTTATCATAGATAATTTAAACATTTCTAACATATTAATCCTACATTAGTTCCTATAAGAAATTTTCTAGATCATAAGTGTAAAATAATGACTAAATAAGAAACACACAATTATGTATATACATACAAGATGGGATCCTAGCATATAAATGAGCACAGACATTTTCATAAAAACATTTAGTAAAATCAGGTTTAAAAAATGAAATTTGAACTGAATGAAGTAAAAATGGCTGGGACAATTTCAAGTTGAAATTTAAAGAAGAGGTTCCAGACCAGTTATTAATTTTACTATTTGGATTACTTTAACCTTTTCACATGGGCTAGAGAGACTAATTATTTTATGCACTGATGCCATTTAATCAATAAGTCAATCAAGAAACAGAAAAACAAATAAACAGGGCCTGCCATTTCCTGCTCCACATTTAGTAGCAAATTTTAAATCTCAAAAGCAAATTAAACTTTTTTGAACCCTATTTAATGAAGTGAATGCATGAAATGTACATGACCCAGCCCAAATAAAAAAAAAAATTAAGTCAATTAATCAATGCAAGTTTTGAAAATTCGCAAACAGTCAAAATTATGCTTAAATTTATTTACATATACATTTGCTACTAGTTTCATTTGTAATTACTTAAATGGAAAAAATTACCTTGAAATACATGAATTGCTATTTGCGTCAAAAGCTCAACTGATGTAGCTGCAAGTTTTATATTATCATGAAATATGCAATCTTGACAGAGCTGAAGAACTTTGCACTCTGCAAATATAAATGTTATAATGAATTATCCAATCAGACAAAATATGAACACAATTTAAATACATTCCCAAAGATACATAGTAGTTTCACTGGAGAAATTTGCTTTACAACTGATGAGAATTTTGTTTAGTTGATGAAAATATTGAGTAGAACAGTTTTCTTGTAAATCTCATAAATAACAAATAAGAGGTATAATAGCATATGAATATGCCCTTGGAGATGATCTTATTTTTAATTACATACATCAATACAGCAGAACATTGATTATCTAAATATAACTACTGTAACTGGGACTGCAGCTACTTTAGAAAATCAAAAACTCGGTTAATAGACTAAATTTTAAATCATGCCAATTTTTCTTTTAACAAGGATTTTTGAGATTGTTTACTGTAAAGGCCCTTATTTTCGCAATTTTTGCGAGACCGTCGTAATCGCGAAAATTTAAGCCTCGCGAAATACTTTTTCTTTTTCCCTCAAATAATAAAAAATCAGAAATTTTTCCCGCTAGGGCTGTTGCGCCACAGAGTTTTCATGAAATAAATAAAATACTTTGCATGAGAAAAACAAAGATTACAGTAATTCTTTATTCACTCTTCTTTTTAAAACAGCCAATTTTCATTTACGTGCCACTATTTGAATATATATATATATATAATCCCTATCGTTCACTTCCCTGATTTTTTTTTGGAGGGAAGGCTTATAATTTCATTGAATTTTACAAAACACTTTTCATTTCAATGACTTTCCAGCAGGGTGGAAATACTTATTTTATCCTTGTAACCCATTGTAATGAAATTGCACAATACATAATATATTCTCACCAACTCAAACTTAGGGACCCCAGAATTATCATGAACTAAAAATATCAAAATGCAAACCATCACTTTTGCCACTAAGAAACACATTCTGGATCTAAGATTTAAATGTGCACTACAGATTACTTATTAAATTCACATTTAAGCTGAATCTTGCTTACCTATATAAATAAGTACAGTAAAACGCATGGGTGAATCTCAATTTAACAAACACGTCGAGCATATTTAAAAAAAATAATGTCACATCTTATTGTAGGTATGTTACTTTTAATATGTAGGTTACGTTGCAAATGAAAAAGAGTTAAAAATGTGAATCATCAAAAACAGTTTCAAATTAGTCATCAGGTAAAACATATATCAGCCACAAATTACTCATCAGCCTGAATAAGAATTCCACTCAAAAAGTTAATGATTCATTTACATATATACATTGTTTTTATAATATTTCAATCTTAAGTATTTTAATATCCTATTACTAATGAGAAAAATGCTCTCGACTGTGCACCAAAAATTTATCTGATTTAATACACTGTAAATGTATTCATAAATACATACAGAAAAACAAGTTTAAAGCTATAAAATTATCAAAATTAAAACTAGCTACTGATTTTTCTTAAGTTATTCAGTATTTTTATATAAAATTATTGGATGTTCCACGGCTCAGGAAAGTGTACCAAATATTATTTTAATACTGTTACTAAAACATAAGCGATACTGATTTAAATATCAGCATATGATAATACAATTAATTGCAGGGAAAGCATATTACATATAAAGAAATACCTCTGCTACTTTACCATAAGCGCAACACTAGAAAACAATTTTTAATTCACTTATCACACTCATTACAATATGGGGGGAAGGTAATAAATACCGTAAAGGCCCTTATTTTCGCAAGGCTTTAATTTTTGAAATCCCGTAGTAATTGCGAAAAAGAGGGGATAGTTCTATATTTTCTGTTTTACTCAGCTGATTGAAGAAATTCATCTTGCATTTTTCATGTCTCAAAAATGGAATTTAAGACATGTATTAGATTTATACATGTCATTGTTCTGACATATGTAATTTGATAAAAAATAAGATTTTTTCTGAAATGATATAGCAAATTTTTTACATACTTAAATTATACCTAATAGAAATCAAATTTTGTAGTCTGGTGTGAAATTTAATCAATAATTCAGAAATTAACCTTGGCACACATTTTTAACTTTATGCCAAGAATAATTCACTTGGCAAACTTCTCAGTTAACAATAAACTATTTCAATTTTCCTTTCATCCTGCATGAGCAGAAAGAAAGTATCATTTTTTCTTTCTTGCATATGTTTTTACTTCATATTATGTTTATATATTTTATCATGGTTGCAATTTTTAGACACTTTTTTCATTTTAAAATTTTATTTAAATTATTTAAATTGTATGGTTGAATTACAGTTCTAAAAAATCTCTACTTATTAACTTGCACTGTGTGCTTCAAATGTTTATTCATATAATTTTTCTTTAAAATTTGATTTTATTTATTTAAATAGCATTTCTTTAAAAACAATACTTTGTCATTCAGTATTGATCACAATGCCTTTGAAAACTGCATTCTGCATTAAAATAGAATATATTGTAAAGCATGGTTAATGCATCTTTGATGGGCCATCCAGAACAGAAACAATTTTCGTAAAGCTTGAAATATTTCTTCTTAATGGCTTATTGCCTCAAGAAAACCTTAATGATTTTCTTAAAGCTTTCAGCAAATATATCCACAATCATTTATTCACTACATACCATACTCACTTTTGAAACAGCTTGTTTTCTGTGACATTATTAGCTTTGTATGTAATTAAGTTAAGGTTTTTGTATCTTTAGTGGACAGAGCTTCTGATAATGGCATCTTGATGTTTTTATTTTTAACCAACTCTGCTTAAAAATTATATTCGAGCTTTAGTATTCTTGCTAGTCTATGTTTTAAATACATGCTGGTAAAATAAATGAGCCAGCTTATTCTATTTAATGTGTAATAATTCTTTTAGTCTCTCTTCTATCTTTAGTTTAACTTCCAAGAACATCTCGTGCAGCAATAACAGCAAACGTAACTGAATGTTCATTTGCACTATGACTTAGTAGTTTAAAAACTAATACATTAACAAAACTCTGCTGTTTGTGACTGAGAATATAACAATACTTTAAATATTTACAAATGAATTTGTAAATTAGAATATGTAGGGTTGCTAGTTTACCTGAAAACTAGAGTTCAAATTCTGCATTTCCCATAACTAGTGATTATTTTAAATTAACAGAACAGACAAATTTGAACAATGATAACATAGACTACGACTATACATTAAAAAGAATAAGCTGGCTCATATATTTTACTGGAGCATATTTAAAGCATCAGCTAGCAAGAACCCTATGGCCGGAATATAATTTTTAAACAGAGATAGATAAAAATACTAAGCAAAAAGTGATTGCCAAAAGTTCTATCAACTAAAAATTCAGAATCCTCAGCTTAAACACATACAGCACTGCATTCTGGTGAGGGATATGGAAATGAGAAGCTAAAGACTGCCGAAAACAGTATAAGAAATTTACTATGCAGTAAAGGCCACAAATTTCTTTGGACATAAAACATCTACAAAATCATTTTTATTTGTTGCCTTTGCTACACATACAAAAGAAGACAAAAATCTTATACAGTCAAAAGTTGTTAATTCGGACACCCATAATCCAGAATGATCTATAATCAGTACCTCAAAGCTACAAACTTTCTGCACATGCGTCGTGTTGATGCATTGGACGCCATGGCGCGCAATGAATTGGAAGTTGATCTGTTAGCACTATCCTTATCTTCAGGGCAGATGTTTTTATTTGGCTTATATACCTTACTAAATGTAGTATTTCATCTCGATGTACTCCGTCTTGGATATGATTTAAATCAAATTCCTTGTCATTATAATCCGCATCCGATAGTGAAGAAAGTGACACAGAGGTTATCGAAAACAAAAAAATTTCGATCGAGAAATTAGTCATATTCTCGAAACAGCAATTATAGGACTTGAACAGTGGAACTTTGTAACTGAACAAGAAATTATGTCTGTTTATATAATTAAAGAGAAAGTATTATCACATAAAATGAAGCAACTTAAACAACTTACATTGAAAGAAATGTTTAATACAGTAAACAAATGAATATTAAGCTTTTTTTTTTGTAAATTTTGATACCCTTTAGATCATAATTGTTCTTTATTTAATAAATTATGGTTTTGTATTTTTAATTTTATAATTTCTGCATACCATCTTGCCAGATTTAAGCTGATGATCTATAATCCGGAAAAATCGATAATCCGGAATCGCCAAAGTCCCGACGAGTCCGGATTAACGACTTTTGACTGTATTCGAGTAAATTTTGCCACTGTTAGACAGTTCTGTAGTAGATGACAGCATGCTTTTTTAATATATTTTTGATTGCGTGACACATAATTTTGAAATCAGCAAAGCAAATTTCATTACAAATAAAATGAAGTTAAGTAAAATAGCAGATGATAAAATGGTGAATGTAAAAATTTACTCTTATAAGATGAAAATAAAATCTTTTAAACTTTTGAAAAATATTCTTTAAATTTAAAAAAAAAATAGATTTTCATGTATTATTAATAAATATTAATTAGGACCTATTATAAAAATAAAAAAAATACCCATAAATGATCTTTAATAAAAGTTTATTTGGAAATTTAAGATTCAAAATAATTGTTGCAATTCATTGAAAATTATCACTGTGAAAACCACATTTGGCTTTATTATTGCTTAAATCAAATACGCCAAACTTCAAAATGTACAAATATATAAATTCACATATATTTCAGAAAATTTTGAATAAAGAATTTTAATTTTTTGTACGTACGCCTAAAAATATATCTACTTTAAGATGATGTAAAATATTTTATATGTTGTTTTAATTCAAAAATATTTTTGAAAAATTTACAAAAAGTACAAAAAAATATAAATTAATAAAAATTAATCAAAAAATTTCTGTGAATTTTATATGGAATGAACCCAAATTTTGAAAGAAAGAATCAAATTTAATAAAAAAATAGACATTAATAAATAATACCAAATCCAATTAACACTGAGGAGCTAAAACTCTGAGATTTAATTTTTTAAAAACTATTTAATGGATTTTTATGAAACTTGGTCCAACCTGAAACACAGGATCAAAATAAAATTAAAAAATTTGTATGTAATTTCACACAAAGTTCGATTTTGTGTTGAGATACCTATGTTATAACAATGCTATATATAAATATAATATATTTCTGAAGTCATGCTTTGAATGCATTTGATTTTTTAAATGTACCATGTAATCCTTATTTAATAATTAAAATTTGTACTTTAAATTGTTAAATTATGTTTTCTTTTTATATGTTGATAATGTTTGTTAACTTAAATGAATATTGATAGTTCGGAAATCTTTTTAAAAAATGTCATAAAAACTACCAACCTGTATCTGGATAAGTAAATTTTACTTTTTCATTTGTAAAAAGCTGCCAAACTCTGCCAAAGAGATTGCATTAATATGTGGGTACCAAAAATTATAATAAGAGAATTTATAATTTCTTTGTTTCCATTTCAAGTCCTCAGTCTTAAAGTGGAAGAAAAAAACAAGCTTACCTCCAGATAAATCAAATTTATCAACAGCAACTGAATGAGACAATGCAACCATCACAGAAAATATTTCACACTTCAGGCTGATGTAGGGTGTTTCAATGGTATAATTTACCAGTTCCTAGACATGTAAATTGTAAACACTATTCAACAATTAAGGCAACAAAAATTAAAACTCCAAAATACAACATTATACATACAATATTTTTCTAAAATTAGTACTGATTTTTGTTTTGCCCAAGACTCAATATTAACATTTGAAATGATTAGCAAATGATGCACATATAGGACATCATACACTATCTTATGTTGATAAAATAGGAATAAGGTAAAATTTTAAGCTTTTGTGATGCGATTTATTAGGAAATAATTAATAGAAATAACTTTCTTCTTTTTATTTCTCTTTTTCTCCAATAAAGGAAAAAGAAGTGAAGAATACAAGCACATGGACAAAAGACATGATATTGCCTGATATAAAAACATGCTCAGAAAAAACCCAAAATAAATACTCCCTTCTAATTTTGAAAATATCTAAAGAAATCTACAGAAATTTTTCAATGAATGAAAAGTGTTATCTAGAAAAAGAAACATAAATTTCACAATACTAGCCAACATCCCCTCTCTCTTCAAAAAAGAAATCTAATAGCAATTTACTTAATATATCTTACATAACATTTAGTAGCTTTTACCTCACAAGGGTCTTAAAGAAATTATTATACTTTTTAAACAAGATACCATTCTCTTTAATGCATGGTGTTTTTATTTTTAAAAATAACCACGGACAATGAAAAATATTTAAATAATGTAGTATATATAAAGTAACTGAAAAGTCACACTGTATCTTTGTTAAATATAAAAATTCATTTTTAATCTTACATTAACATTGGAGGTACTCCATAAATGTGCTCCTCTTTTGGCTAGCTTCTCCATATCTTTTAATGCATTCATTTTAACACATACACGGCCATCTTCTTTAAGATATGAAATCAACAAATCAACCTGTAAGTTTTAAAATGTTAATTTTAAAACATTTGATAATTTGTGAGTGATACATAAATAATTCTGTAAGTTGATCTGCTAACAAAGTTCCTTAGATGATGTATTTTTGAAATTAAAAAACTGTTAAACTTTTTTTTTTGTCATAACTTTATTGTATTTACTCTCACAGAAGTGATCTGAATACAACCTTGTGGTTCATGAAGATATTTTAAGAACTAAATGTATTTCATACACATATTTAGTAATTGTAATTTTTAATGCACACATATGAAATTTACTAAATGATATAAGAGAAACTCCATATTTTTTATTAATTTTCTCCTTTTAATGATTGCAGTTCAGATAAATTTTTATTAAAAGTCTTTCTGACACATAGCCAGAGCATAAAAGTATGTCTGATTTTTTCCCTCAAATGGCTAGAAAGAGACTGAAACTTAGATTGCAGATCAAAACAATGGAAAAACATTTTACATTTTCAAACAGAATAAAATATATGGAAGTAATGTGTATTCTTTATTTAAAGCATTCAACAGCCAGGGTCTCTACTGAAGTCCAATTATATAAGAAAAACCAAAGCTCTGGTTGTTTTATTCATGGTGTAATTTGCTGCATTACATTATAAACAGGCACACATTTGTAATCTTTACTAAAGGTTACATAAATACAAATCAATTTTTCACAGAATATCCTTTACAAAGTTATCCTAAATAGGGCAAACAGCTTTCATACATAAGTCACATAATAGTAAATTATCCATACAATTAATATTACAAGTTACAACATAACCAGCAAGGTAAAATCTTATTTTGAAATTTGGGGATTTTAAATGCTAAAATCTTTGTTTCAGTATAAGGCCTTGTGATGCGAAAGGGGTATAGCATAGATTATTACAGTATAAAAATCATAATATCATATAATGGTATATAGGCATAAGATTCACAATACTGAATAATGCAAAATAAAGAATTAGATAAAAACTGATTTATTCATACTGATAAAGTTCAATATTAATTTGTTATAACTTAAAGATCAATGCCCACAGATAAAAATATGTTCCTTCAATTATTTAAACAGTTTTCTTCAAAATAATAAAATTATTATGAGACAACAAAAAAAATTAAATTATTATTTTTTAATATTAAAAACATATTTTTTTCTTTTTAAGTTCAATTCAGATTTTAAAAAACTGGAGAAGTTATAAGAAGTAATTAAATTTGAAGTTACATAAATTTTAGGCTACTTACCTTTTATTTGTGTTCACTGTATTTTAAAAAAAATGTATAAAAAATAATATATATAAACATATGTATTTCACTTACAATCTTTTATTAATGATAATTAGCTTAATACTGCTATTCATAGCCCAAAATATTAATATCTATATTAATTACGTCAAAACAGTACATAAGAAAAAATGACAGATTTACTTTAAAAAATGTTATTTACCTGTTCTGGAATGTGAGTTACAGAAGCAGCTGCTAATTCTGTAAGCGTATGTAATGTACAAACAACAAACTGTTGAGAAGGGTAATCTGGAAGAAGGGAAGTGCATAACTTCCAAACCTAGATGAAACAAATACATAATTAATTAATCCATTCCATCAAATGCATATTAAATAAATTCAGGCAAAACATGAAACATATTTTAATGTAAAATTTAGAAAACTTTTGCTGGCATATTATACAGTCAACTATATGTTGCTCCTACCAAAGTTCAATAGTAACAAAATTGAACTTGTGCAGCAAAAGAAAAGAATCTGAAACATATGTATTTCTACCGAAGGGCTAAATATTAAAACTAATCATGTTGTTTAGAAATAGGAAGGCCAATTAAAAACCCACTTTAATTGGGTTAATTGGATTAACATTAACCACTTAAAATGTTAACTTAAATTAATAATTGGATTAACATTAACTACTTAAAATTTTAACAAAACAACACAATTAAAAACTGGTGATGTATCAATAAAATAAGATAAAACTGTCTGGAATCACTTATTTTCATCATCAGTTCTTTCTATATGTAATAAAATTCAACATTAAAATAAATTTATATTTAAAATTAACTAAAAAAATATTTTTTTTTTTAACTAAAATGATACCTGAGCTATTGTCTGAGCATCATGATGCATATGTTGAAAAATTGACAGCAACTGTAATTTTATTTCAACTGGTGTAGCTAAACCTTGTATCATCTCACCTATCTTTGCACAGATATTTGAAGCAAATGTTCTATAGAAGAAATATAATAATAGCTTAATCAACAACAGTAAAAATATAGCTTTTTGGGGTTATTAGCAAGATTATGTTAGGTAAATTAATTACATCAAATTGTCAGTTACAAAAAGGAAATAAAACAATAATTTTTTTTAGGCTAAGAATAGCTGAATCCAATTAGGTATTTAATAAATATCCTGATAAGTAATGGTTATAAAAACAATTAAGTAAAAGTTTTATTAAATTCAAAAGAATTTGATAAAACTTTCCACTTCACTAGTAGCAGTATTCTGCTAAATACATTGATGCACACCTCACAATCAAGGCTAGCTCTGGAAAAGTAACTCAATAAATAACACTTACCCAACATTACTTTGGTAATTCCTAAAATGAAGACATAGAATGAAAACAATGACATATAACAAAACACAATTTAATTACATGACAACCTCCAATGAATATCTAAACATTTTTCTGACTACATCTGGTTGCTAAGGAAATTACATAGCTCTCAACATTCTAAAGATTTTAAATGCATCACAGTTCATCATGCGATGTGAATCCTTGACTCATGCTTATTGCCGAGTCAAATGATGTCATTCGCAACATATCCTCCCCCCTTTTGAAATGCTGTATAGCTATTCAAAAACAGTCATTTAAAAACTTAAATTCAGTCCCTGCAGTTTCTTAAGAGCACAAACAAATCAAGTCACAGTCTTTGAAGACCTTCTAGAGTCATCAACATCTGGATCTGGCAAGTGTGCTGGCCAGTCACTTGAAGAAGAAACTTCTCTAGGAACAATGCTCCACAGGCAAATCTTGAATGCGATTCTCTAAAGGAAAAATTCTTTGAATAGGATGAATTAATACATTATATTGTATTGTTAGTTTCACAGTTCTTACTTTACTGTCTTTACATGGAAATAATTCAATAACTCTGGCCAAAGGCATACATTTAACAGCTTAACGGTAAGTGCTTTTCGAAACCATCTCCCACTGGGATGATGAATATGATATATTTTAGGATTATATTGATGTCTTTGGATAATTTGTACTTTCAAATCTTTCATTAACCCAGCGCAAAACTTCATTCTTTTCCATAAATTGCTAGCATAAATGTTGTCAACATTTGCCACTTTTGAATTTGGTCTGTCAATTAATATGATTGCTGAAATTAATGGAATCAGATCTTCCATGTTCTCTGATAAATATATTAAAGGTAAGGAATTCAAGACTCACAATTGCATCACTAACTCTTTATATGTTATGGCTGCTTTTACCAAAGATCTTCTAAGGAGCTCTTTAAAAATCTTAACAATCTCCCCCACCAGGCTGCTGTGGGAGGAAGAAACTTTCAAATAACACACTGAACCTCAGCTAATTGATTTATTTTATCCCAGTCTACTTCTTTAAGGTAAATGTATACACCTCTAAAACTTGTACCATTGTCACAATACACAATTCTAGGTCATCTTTGTCTCTCTATAAAGCATCTAAATGAAAGCAGGAATGCTAAGTGTACAGCCCTGTATAGGACACATGTAAACAAAACAATCTATACTCTGTCATCATGCTTTAGATATAAAGGTCCTGTTAAATTTATTCCCACAATCTCGCACACAGATGCATTTTCAACTCTGTGTGCAGCTGGATCTGCCATCAATGACCGAGACTTAAATCTTTGACATTTGATATGATATTTCAAGGCATTTTAAATTCTTTTCTTACTCTAAGGATTTAACACTTTTCATGTAAGATACTAAATATCAGTAACATTTGAATAACAAAGTAACATTTGAGTTCTTGCATGACAATTCTCATGATGAAAATGCTCAAGTCTTGACATAAATACAAAATTCTCAGGTGATAAGATTGGTGATATAAACTCAGGTTTATCAATTATTTCCATTACATGAGTTTTTACAAAAATAATTCCTTCCCCATCTTTGAATGTACGCATGTGTGAAATTTTTCTTTCAGGAGGAAAACATTCCTTCTGCATTCTTTGTATTAGTATAACTTCAGCACCCTTAATCTCTTGTAACATCCAATTCCCCTTTTTCTGTTCTTTTGATATGAACTGATATTACCAACAAATCTTGACAGCCAAGACACTAACCTTAAGATCAAATGAAAATTGGAGAATTTTTCTGCCTACCTTGGTAACTATGTTTTGATAAATTTATTTAACTATGTTTCTTTTCTAACTATGTTAACTAACTTTTCTCCTTTCAGATGTAACTTCAGGGGTATATTATTTCAGTCACAGGCCAACAATCAGATGATTCTCTCATATAAGATGTCCTTACCACCAGTGTGAAGCAAACAAATATTTGGGAGAACCACCAGAAGAAATCGGATCAATGGGATTTATTTTTCTTGACACAAGATGTCTTTTGCTATCAAGAAATAGTGTATGTACTTCTTCCACTCTATCTGAAACAAAGACTAACTATTTTCCTTACTTATCTAATGAATACAGGACCGCAATAGAATTGCTTAAAAATATACACAGTTTTTATATCCAAAAAGGTAAGTGCTTGTTGCACAGAATGTGCCAACCTGGACCCAATTATAATGTCATCAATTCAAGTTTACTTATTGATATTTGCTTTATAGGAGCAATTCTCGATTTCGCTCTAATTAACTGAATTCTTATTTCATGATTTGTGACTGACCTAACAAATATGCATGCAGCATAAGCCTCTCTGCGCACATCTACAAAAACAAGCATTTCACTAGATTCATCTATACCTGTAAAATGTTGTATATTTGTAAAATGTTGTATACCTGTAAATGTTGTATAAATATTTCAGCATATTCTAAAACAGATATTTCATTAAGCCAACCTTTGAAAACCTTTAAATAGAGTGTCCCAAATCAATTTTAACCTCTAAGCTTCCTATAAAGTAATTTTTAAAGGCAACGTTATCACACCCAATAAACCAGAATACAAAAATTTCTTATATGAAAGCTAATATAATTCTTTTTTTGTAAATACTTGCTCATCACTAAATTTTTCAAAATTCAAATTGCAACTTAAGGTATTGTCATTTAAATCTCATATAATACCAAATAATTTGGTCACTTTATTTTTAGATACAAATTTACAACCTATATTGTTTTCCCAGTTTCTTAAATTAAAACACTCTCAAGACATAATCTGTCAAGTCTTTTCAATAAATACAGTCAAAAGTCGTTAATTCGGACACCCATAATCCGGAATGATCTATAATCCGGACCTCAAAGCTAAAAACTTTCTGCGCATGCGCCGCGTTGGCACATGCGCACAGGCGTTTTACGCGTGCGCGTAAGACCTTGACTACTGTGCATATGCGTGTGCGCAAGTGCAGAATACGTTTTCGCCTGTGCATTTAATGTATAACAGACGGTGTAAGCTAAAATTATCTAATTATCTATTTCAGTTAATGTTAATGATTGCGTTGTTCCTTAATCTTCGAATTGGATCGTGCTTATTATTTTTTGCAGACTGTAAGAGCAAATTTTATAAAAGTAAACTTGAACTTTCGATTATGTCAAATAGAATTTCCGATGCTGGAACTTTCAAAGGATCTACAAAATGAAAGTATGTTTGGATGTCCAACAAACAAAAAGTGGAATTGCTGCAAAAAATGGATAAAGACATGAAGAATGTGACAGAGAGGTTAGTGAAAACGAAAAAATTTCGATTGACAAGTTAGTCGGTGTTCTTGGTACAGCAATTAACGGGACTTGAACAGCAGAACTTTGTAACTGAACAAGAAATTATGTCTGTTTATAGAATTAAAGAGAAAATATTATCACATAAAACGAAGCAACTTATAGAAATTGAAAGAAATGTTTAATAAAGTAAATAAATATTAAGCTCTTTTTTTTTTTTTTTTTTTTTTTTTTTTTTTTTTTGTAAATTTTGATACCCTTTAGATCATAATTGTTCTTTATTTCATAAATTATGGTTTCATATTTTTAATTTTAGAATTTCTGCATGCCATCTTACGAAATTTAAACTGATGATCTATAATCCGGAATCGCCGAAGTCCCGACGAGTCCGGATTAACGACTTTTGACTGTATTTCTTATTCTCTCACATCAGAAACACCTGTGACACAAATTGTCCACATAAAATGAAGAATTTAATTTTTGAGCAAATTCTTCTTATTCAAATGGCATATGATTCAGCAAATGTGAAATTAAAGGTGCCAATAAAAATGGCTCAATGTGACACTGAAGACTACTCTATAGTGTCAGTAAACAATTTTCTCAGTTTTAGAAGAATAGCAAAATTATAAAAAATTTCTACATTCAGGGCACTATAGCCATCTGTTAAAATGCTTTATCTATATCAGCTGTCCAATCAGATAACTTCAAAAGCTATCAATAACATTAGGAATGAGCTCTATCAAATTAGGCCCTTTATACAAAAAATCATTTAAAGAACATTTTTCACACTCTGCAGCAGATGCATCAAATACGGGTCTAATTTTTGTTGTGTTATCACTTTTAATGACAGGCTGATGAAATAAAAAGACCACTTTTGGTATCATTTGTAACCCTTTCGATAATACCTAATTCTCTCCCCCCCCAAATTCTGAATACATAAATAAAATTCATCCAAAATTAATTTATCTTTTGTGCACTGGCATTTCTTAAATGATGCTTCCAAGTTAATTCTTTATTAGAAGGCAAGTTCTTTATTTCCAATTCAAAAGGCAAGCACATTTTTTATTTACCACCTTATATACTATTTTTAAAATTCTCTAGTACTTTTATGTGTTTCTTTTTATTTTCAGCGGGGTCTGAAATCGCAATATTTTCCAACCTCCACAATTCTTTAACTGATAAGTCATTTACTTGCAAAGCTATAACATTACAAATCAGATTTTTACTTCCTCAGTTTCAGAAGTACTAGATTTCTCTATTAAAACATTCTAAATGAGTATTTAGCAAATGCATGCCACAGTTCAATTCTACAGACTGTTCTTTAAAAATAATGCCAATTATACTAGCTCCTAGCAATATATTAATTTCTGTCTTCCACAGTTTCAGATTTGGTTAACAAATTCCTTTTTCTTTCAATTCATTCAAAACGTTTCAGTGACCTTGGGCACAACGTTGCAAATTTTTTGTTCCAAAAATGCTTCTACCTGAAAGAAGGATGATACCTCACATAAAGAGCAAATCAACAAATAATAAACACCACATTCCACTTGCTCTGTTTACATACCCTCAAACAAGCTATGCAACATTTTAACTTTTTGTTCTGGCTTTAAGTTTAATTTATCTATCACGAAAATGCTAATATACGAATATTGAGATATGGTATTAAGGATGCACTTAAAGATGTTTCTCTATTACTTAATTTAAACTTTAACATTTAAAATCATATATAATATGATTTAACATCATTTAACATTTAAACATACAATTTCATTTTTACAGTTATTAATCAATGCATTAGATGAACTGATTCACATTTTATTCACTTTCAATCATGTCTGGCTTATTTTTTTCATTATTATTTTTATGGTGAGCACATTTAAGACCTTGTGAGTTTTGGAGTTACAATATGAACAAATATTTTTTTATTTTAGAAAATTTTGCTGAATGGAGAATAAGAAGATGCATATAAAGTGAGCCTTATTTCTCATCAAAATTTTCCTTTCAGCATCTAAATTCATACAGTAAAACAATCTTTAGTAGGATGTATTTTCCAACAAAAAAAAAAAAAAAGTAACTTAAATTTTGCTGATCTGAGTTGTTGTAAGAAGTATTCACTAAAGCTGCTGCGGAAGGGGGGGGGGTTCAGGGAACGGTTTATCAACATATACTCTTTCCTTACTAAGTAAGTTAGTGCTAAAACTCGAATGCAGAAGTTCAATCATTCTTTACCTTTAACTTCACATCTCAAGAAATTGATCAGTTTTTCTAAGGGATAATCTTCTAATTCACTTGTTTCACTAACATTTTTTCTTCTTTTCCAAACAATGAGAATATCTTCAGGCAAGCATGATTCCACTGGAGGGGTTACAAAAATCACAATATTTTTCCTGGGTTCTTCCCAGATTCTCCAGCACTTGTATGTTTACTTTTAATTCATCATACACTGCCGTTAAGGATAACTTCAAATGCCCAGAAACAGCATTCTTCATGAGCATATTCTATAGATCTCACACCTAAATTTGAACAAGAGAATCCTCTTGTCGAAAACATCCCCAAAGTTGGTTGGATTACCCCTGGATAATGCCTGCGCACAAGCCTGTATTGCCACATAAATATATTTTGCCCATGTCCTGGGTTGACACCTAACTATTTTGGGGACTATAAGTGTTGACTCGCGAATATATTTCAGGAGGTGAAGTCAATCAGAAAGAACTTTTATAACTTTACACACTGTTAAACTTTGCAAAATATTTTTATGAAAGTAAATCTTAATTACTTATGGATGACACCAGTTGAAAATATAAATCAACATATATAAACTAGTAACTTTTCATAAATTATAAAGCTTAAGTACCTAATTTTCTACAGCTTATATAATTTATCTTTTTCTAATAACAATATGTACAATATTTTGATAAACTTGGTGTTTTTTGTTTTTAATCATGCCATAATGTCAAACAACTGAACAATGAAAAAACTTTAAAAATTACAAAATTAAACAGAAAATTAGAGAAAAGAAAAAACACATATTTTTTATTTATATTACCACATAAAATAAATTTTAGTATAAACTCCATTACATGTCAGATGGAAGCAAAGGCCTAAGCCTTAACACATTCAACTTACTTGGATTGGGCAGCAAATTTTCCAGTGGCATATATTGCAGATTTCATTTCAACAGCATCATGAGAATCAAGGCTATTTCGTATACTATGGTGAATACTCTTTTTCTCAGAAACAACACTAGCAATATTACCCAGTGTTCTAAAAAATTATTCAAACAATTAAATATCTAAAACACCTGAAATTCTTATTTTTAAGACAGTAAAAACTCAATATTCAATTAAGCATTATGTATATAAAGTGCCAGCTTTCAAATAATAATCATTCAATCATAATTCAATCATTCAATCATAATAAAGTCAAGGACAAAACTATGCTAATGCACAAGTACTATATCTCTGAACTCTTTCTGTTTGAACTCTGAGGTAGTCTCTGCAGTGCTTGACTGCTGAGGCAGAATCAGGATATTTCTGGCAGAAGTATTCAGCACTCAGTATCGAAGAGAAATATAGGGTGCCCACATGTTTGGTGCGAGATGCTGCAGGACAAGATTTTATGATTATTTTTCTTCCATGGACAAACAATAACAGCCATAGTTTACCTCAATACATTGATTAAACCTTTGTGGCACAGTGTGTCCAGTCTGGACACACTTAAAAATTTCCTTCTGTACGCACAGAAAAATTGAATGAAAAAGGATTTATAGGTTACTCTGAACCTTCTTTATTTATAGTACATGGCAGCTCAACACAAATAAGTCCATATATTTTAGCATGTTTACTTTTTTAAGATCCTTATTTTTCAAAGAAATCTTCCAGTTTTTTTTATGAGTATAAAAGAATTGTTTGAAAAGAAATTTATATGTTAGTTTTTTGGCTGTATGCTATTCTCTTTATTCTATATTAGTTTTAAATTTTTACCTTGAAATCTTGCCTAAAATCAAACGGCAAACCCTAGGGTGCCCAGACTGGGCTCCGATAATCTAGGACAACTGAGAGTCTGTATTCTTTGTTTTCTCCGCATCTCATCAATCAGTTCATGAAACAATGCTGTTTCAGCACTCTTTCGAAGCTCTATTCAATCAGTGTGCCACTTTGGGCACACCCACATAATTAAAACGATAAATGCTATCTTTACAAAATTTTACTTATGTACTCCTCTAGGCCTAATCAGAGAGCCTACTTTTTTTTTTTTTTTTTAAAATCAAAACTCCAACTTTAAAAGTTAGCATGCCGGAAAGGGTTAATTACATTTGCCAACAGTTGGAGGGCTGTCAACCAGAGCAACCAATGACACATATGTCAAAATTCAGTAACTTGTGTCACTTGTTACAAAAACTTTGTACCTTGCTTGTGAAAATGCGATCAGTACCAAAGGTATAAGTTGTTTCATTCTCGAACAACAGGCCCTTATTCAGGTACACTTTGAACACCTTGTACATCAATATATAAAGAACAATTAGGCAAAAATGCAAAGTTACACAGGCCCAGATTTTAAATTAAACTATCAATTTCAGGGGGAACTGACATAAAGAAGTAATCAAAGGAGAGAGCTAGATATTAAATATTTTAAACATTGTCAAAAACTGGATTGAAGTTAATGTGTGAGTAGGTAGAGTTTTTAAACCATAACATGTTTCAGGCAAATCCAGTTTGTCAAATGAAAAAATTTTATGGATATTTTTAACAGAAACAAATTCTGGGCCAATATAAGATTATATTTTTCATTTAATAGTCAATTTGACAGGAAATAAAATCTATGTATCTAATAGCCTAAATAGTAACATGCCCAGATTAAACAAACGCGTCAGAATAAAATTTACATGATTTTAAGTTAATTGACCAAGTTCATATTATCAAAAATAATTCTAACAAGTATGATTATAACACCTACAGAAAATATGAATGGAAAGTGTTAGATTTCTTATAACCAACAATGACTCTAAAATGTATTTTTGTATGTATATTGTTGTATCTATGTCATTAAAAAATTCTTATAATAATTAAGAATATTAACTGACAAAGTTGTAACACAAAATGTTAAATACCTCATTAAAAAAAACTAATGAATAATTTTTCATTAAAACTATTCAGAAAATTAAGACGGAAAAAAATTTCCATTCACTGTAAATTAAGAAATAATATGAATTTATTCATGATGTTGGCTTAATAATTTATTAAGAATCATATTAGCTTTGTGCCTAGTTTAAATAACAAGTTGGCATAAGGGAATCCTGTGCTGCAGTATGTGAGAGAAAAAAAAAATTTGATATAAAATATTCATACCTATAATATATGAGATGTCATCTTTCATGACTGACAGATGGTGTTGCATGCTTTTTGAGAGAACTGATTTATGGTGAGGGAAAAATACAGGAGAGATATCCATGACAACATAAGACATATAAAGAAGTTGTCCAATGTTAAAAAGATGAAATAATTTATTTTTTTTTACTGTGAAAAATTTACTGTAAATATTCATGCTCCTATTGTCCATTTCCACAGTATGTTAAAATCGTCAATAATCTTCATTTAAAATGTCATTTGGACTAGCGTATCTATTTTCCCTAGACTTTAAAGTTTCAGCAATTTTATAAAGTATGTTCTCAGACACCAAGGCAAGGTAAGAGTATCTCCACAAATATTTACAATGAGGCTCCAATAACTACAGACTGTTACACCTGGATCATACAGTTTTCCTAAATTTCTTATCTACAAAACTAAACTTTTTCAGAGAGACAGCTTAATTAATTGCTCTTCACTAAACATAAAAATTTACTCATCAAATACATGGTATAGAGAGAAAAAAAAAAAAAAAAAAAAAAAAAAAAAAAAAAAGACTACAATCTACAATTTAAAAAACTGTATTCTCTCATTATATGAAAGTAGTATAGCTTATATGTATTAGAAGTAATTAAATTGCATACCTCAAAGTGAGAGCTCTTGCTACAGGATCATTACTATGTATGACTGCATATAAGCGATGAACAAATTCATCAAGGTTAAGAATTTTATCCAAGTGTTTTTGGCTTTGTTGCATAACTCTGAGTATAAGTGTTCGGTGGAAATTTGTACTAAAAAGACAAATAATTATAATACTATGTGGTATTATGACATAAAAGAATATATAAGAAAATGTCAGATACATATAAAACAAAAGATGAGTTACATGTAGAGATTAATTTCTTTAAATATTTAAAAAATACAAAAACTCAATTAAATACTTTGAAATTGTATTGATTAATTTTTAACGCACATGAAAATATTCTTTCTGCTATTGTAGAAATTTTAAATGCTCGATAAATAATAAAGAAAAATCGTAGACTCTATTTATTTATATTACAGTTTTATCATTAATCAGTCAGTACTACTTGAAACATCATCCAGAAAAATGTTTAACACAAATTTATTAATGTGATAGTTGTATTCTATACCAGGGATTGATATACCCCTTTTTTTAATGTAACATAAATTTTACCACAATTATACTACTCAATTAAAGTCAATTCCCTATTAACTTGGGGGTCAGAGCTTAATTTCTAAAATCAGAAGTACCAGAACCATCTGGAAGATGGTCAGATGAAGGAGAAAAAATAAATTAAATAAATAATAATCAAATTAAAAGTCAATAAATATAAAGATTTAAGTAAAAATTTAATAAATTATAAATTGTTAAATTAAAAAAGAATTGGACCTCGCCTTATTTGAGGCTTTAGTTGGACACACAATTTGAAACAAAAACTAAAAAATAGCTCAGCCGTTCTTGGGTTATATTTAGATCTTAAATGTACAGTATATTCTTTCAAAGAGAAGGTGCGGGAATATGCTTTTTACAGCACACCAGTAGAAAAAAGTAAAACGTCAGTAATGAAAATAGAGAGAATACTGGAAACAATATGACAATATGGAAAGAAATTTTAATAGAGAACAAAAACAAAGAAAGAAGAGTCCAAAGCTTTATGATCGTGATGCCCTACCATTATAGTTCTAGCTGTCAAGCAGAATGTGAATGGGCAAAAAAATTTCTCCTGAATCTGATCTGATGAGAACATGAGAACAAATGTAAGGTTTTGCATAAGTGACAATTTTTGTCCCCCATATTTGGTTACACAGTTCAAGTATGAAGGAGCTCTGCAGTGAAAGATCACTCGCAGTGCACACAGAAGACCAAGGTAATCATTGTTCATACTTTCGAAAAAAAAAAAAAAATTACTTCATGATCGTGATGCCCTACCAGTATAGTTCTAGCTGTCAAGCAGAATGCGAATAGGCAAAAAAAATTCTCCTGAATCTGATTTGATGACAACATGAGAACAAATGTAAGGTTTTGCATAAGTGACAATTTTTGTCTGCCATCTGCGAATAGGCAAAAAAATTTCTCCTGAATCTGATTTGATGACAACATGAGAAAAAATGTAAGGTTTTGCATAAGTGACAATTTTTGTCTGCCATATTTGGTTACACATTTCAAGTATGAAGAAGCTCTGCAGTGAAAGATCACTTGCAATAGACATAGAAGACCACGGTAATCATTGTTCAAAAAAAAATTATCCGCCTTCATTAATTTATTGCACTACCTGGACAGTAAGACTTTGACATGTGGATGTGGGCTTTTCTTTCTTTAAAAATCTTAACTTCATTCAAAGTGTTTGTTTCCCAGAGAAAGGCATGAATTCGGAAGATATAATCGATTTTAGAGGTATATTTATTTTTAAAATAAAATTTGTCTGCTGAAACTGTATTTAATTTTACATAGAGAAAGTACTGCACTTCATCTAGAAATATGATTTTACCTCAGAAACTGAGAAGTACCGGAGTCAGGCTCCGGTTAGCTCTGGTGCAATTTAAGCACTGGGGGGGGGCGGTAACTGGATAGCAAAATAACTGGGCTTTTACTAACAAATTTAAGTTTGTTTATTTTCAGAACACTTAAGTTACAATCACAACCATTAGAATAACAGCAAAATTTCTAGGAGAAGTACAAAAAAGTGTAGAAAAAAGATTGGGATAACAGCAGTGACTGCAGACAATACGACAGTATTTGGGAATTGTTTTTATCATCAATAGTATAATTTTATTGTATATAATCTGGATTATACAGGGTGGATCTGAACAAGTGAGCAAAACTTTAAAGGGTGAGAG